AGCTCTTATGTACACCACCACCCAATAATAATAAATCAACAAACAAACACTCCCACACAAACACTCTCCAACAACCATCCGCGCTTCCACCGCGAATACACGAAGTCGCTCAGCCTGGTGATCCTTCCTCACGGTAGTCACCATCCTCGAACACTTCCCACATCGCCTGCCATCAACACAATGTGCCATTCGGCCAACACTACTCCAGTCACTCGTCACTCAGAATTCACCAGTATTTCCGGAAACAAGGCCTTCATCCGAGGCCTCGCTTGCTAGAATCCCCCCGCATCCCCTCAGACATCCAGTTCTTGCGACAGCGCCCGCTGTTCAATAGCTGCAATATCAGAGTGCTTCGCGGTCGGTCTATCACAACGGTCTTGTTTCGGTGATTCTGCAGTTGACAGCGACTGGAGCCCGCTCTAGTCCGCACCTGGCAGCTTTTCGACCACTTGACACTGCTCGAATCCTACTTCCACCTGCGACTTCGTCAATCCCCTCAACCTCCTACGTATACGTTCCGCCTTCGAAACCTAGCCTCTTCCAGCACACAACAAAGAGAACCGCGTCTCGAAATATACGTCAGAGCTCACAGGGTTGCTCTCTACGGTTTGTCCCATCGGTTAAGTTCTCGGTCACCCCACGACCACCCGATCACGCCTTGCGCCACCTCTCCAGGTCTACCTAACGGTCAGCACTTCGAGACGTAACGACAAAGCCTAATCACCCATCTCCGCTCACTCCTTATTGTCTACATTTCCTTACCAGGTACCGTCCTGTATTACCCCTCCTTCATCATGAGTCTTGCTATTCCTCTCCCTAGCCACGGCTACATGGTTGAGACCCACCCTTATGCCGCTCCCCTTTCTTCCTCTGCTTCCTCTTCCACCTCATCAGTATTCTCAGACGCTGCGTCACAAGCGTCCAGCGCAAGCTCCACATCGTCTCACTCAAACTGGGACTCAGAAGAATGGAGTCGCAACCAAGTAGCACCGCCGACCTCGGTCGACCCTGCAAGCTTGTCAGCTTTCCAGCCCATCAGCCGAGTTAGCACATATCCTCAGTATCAATCTGCAGTATGCCGGGAGCCCGCACAGGAGAGGTTACCTTCCCTGCGCACCGAGCTTCTGGCCCCACTGGAGCAACGACAGAATCCTCGTCGATCGTCGGCAGCTGTAAACCAAAAGGCTCCACCCCAATTGGTACGGCAATCCGATCGAAAGGTCAACTTCGTCGATTGCCTCGTCGGTTAGTACACGCTTTACCCCTGGACCATGGTTCCCCCGCTGATTCACCCTTCTTAAGATTCTGCCACCCAGATGGTTGAGGTTATCTGGCAACTTTCTGAGCCCAAGAGCCGCTGTGAGAATGCCTCTGGACGCGGAGTACTTCCCCTTCGCATGTTCATTCAGGAGACACTTCGTCGCTCTCGCACAAGCTACTCTACTCTCCAAGTTGCCTTGTACTACTTGATCCTGATCAAGCCTCATCTGCCTAAGCATGACTTCACCATGTCTCAGCCTGAAGATGCATCCCTTCGTGCGCTGCAGTGTGGTCGTCGCATGTTCCTTGCTGCGCTCATTCTCGCCTCAAAGTATCTGCAGGACCGCAACTACTCGGCTCGCGCATGGAGTAAGATCTCTGGCCTCAAGGTCTGTGAGATCAACACCAACGAGATGGCTTTCCTCGAGGCTGTCAACTGGAAACTCCACATTGTTGACTCGGTATGGGAGAAGTGGCAAGAAGTTGTCTTGAGGCACACTCCTACTCTTCCACCGCCATCACCTGGCGCTCCCATTCCCAACACTTGGAAAGACGTCATCCCTGTCTTGACGCCTGAGTTGGACATCATTCAAGTGACTCGCAAGGCACCCAACACTCCTGTGCGTCCTCCTCTGAGGCCACAGCTGAACGCGTCGCCTTACCGCACTCCGTCGCTCGATGGTTACGGATCCCAGGAGAGCACACCAACTCCGTCGCGCTACCAAGTGCCTCGCTTCTTGGAGCCGAAGCCTGATCTTCCTCACACTCCATCGCTGCCATCACTGGCTCGTTTGGGTCCTTTGCCGACACCGTCTTTGACGCCGCAATCCATTACCAGCAACACTCCTGCAGCGAGTGCCATGGCTTTTGGATCATCGCGACGCACATCGATGTGCTCGGCAATGCAACAGGCACAGTGCTCGTCATTGGCGCGCACCTGTGTCGACCAGTTCAACCCAAGCGTCAGGAATGGACTAGAAGCGTATCACTTCCCAACCCGACGACCTTCCCTGGCTCCCTCCAACTCATCCCTATCATCCTCTCCAGAGTCAATGATCTCGGACAACTCACGCACTTCTCGTGCTTCGTCAATCTCGTCGGTCTCATCTGCCGGCTGGGCGCCAACTCAAAATCAGGCCAACTTGGCTCGATTGGCGACCTGTCGCAGCGCGAGGCTTCCGTACCCCGTATTGTCGAAGTGCAAGGAGCAATACGAGTATGCTCCAAGCGAGGCCATGTCCTCACCTGATCTGGACAGCTTCCATATCGATGATTCGGATTCTTCGCCAGGCAAGGTTGAGAGCCCTGCGTTTGTCGCTCCTGCGAGTCGTAAGCGTGGAAGGTCTTCAGTCGACCTCCAGCAGAACGTGCGTCACTTGCTTCACAGCACTCGCTCCGCATTCGACCTCCGTGCTCAGAAGCCTGTGCTCCCTGATAGATCAGTGTCACACTCATTCGCCTTCTCATCGCGCAGTGAACCCAAAGGGCTGCAGTCCCCCAAGAACACTGTTCCGTACTGCTCGCGTCTTCCTATCCAGAAAGACTTTGGCAAGAAGAGATCGTGCTGCAGTACTGAGGTTGCACAAGCCTTCCGCCCACAAGGTCCAGGCATGTGGGCTGGCATCCTCTAGACATGACAACATCGTCTACACAATATTGAAAGTCCAAAGAAGGCTTAACAACAAAGAAAGAGAAGGAAGTATCACCGCATTTATTCTCTGTTCGTATTTTACACACAGTCACACACTCTACACACCCGTGTATATTTTCCTTCTCAACCTCCGAACCAGCCATGTGTGTATTCTCCTTTTGGGCGTCTCAACAGATCTCATTTGCTACTTCAGCTCCGGTATACCTATTTGGGTTACTTTTGGCGTTTCAACTTCACTACCAACTTGGCGTTATATCTATTCACGGAAAGCTCGGTTATGAGCGAAAGGTGGGGGAAATACCTTGATTGCAGTCGGATGCATTAGCATGGGTTCAACGGAATAAGGCGTAGTTTGTGTCCGCACGCACATGCGCCCCTTTGGTTGGGTTGGATGTACGTTTACGCTGCGGTGGGTAAGGTTATATCCAGTGAGTAGGTAGTGAGTAGTAAGCAGATGTTGATGATTCTAATACCTCACTTGTTGCTTGTTGTGTATGCCATGGTGATGTAAAGGTCGTGTTGATTTTCTACGACGAAGTTCGCCTTATTATGGATGGTTGAACTGACTGTGTATAGGCACTCGCGCGTCTGCTGTCACATTCGCTCCGTCTATCTCGACCCGTGATTGCCAGGCCCAACCTAAATTTTCCTAGTATCATTGACATGCACCTCCTCCCCTTCCCCAACCTTGCCCATCGCTCTAGCAACTGTAACACTCTCCCTTAATGCTCTTCCTAGAACGCCTCTTACCCCACCTTCCTCCAGCACCATCACCCCCGCAATCGTACACCCCTCCGGACTTGTCCCCATATCCCTCAATTCCCCCGGCTGTATCCCACTCTGAAGCATCTCCGCACTGCCTCTCATACTCTGGTAAATCTGGTCCTGAGCTATCTTACGAGGTACCCCCACAGCCACAGCGGCGTCGATGAGGCTGTCAACTATGATGGCCCAGAATGTGGGCGTGGAGCCGCTGACAGCTGTGGTAGCGGGCATAAGACTGGGCGGAATAGGAAGTGATTTACCAATCTGAGAGAATATGGCTGTTGCTAGCGCTGAGTATTGGGTTGGGAAAGAGGGCGAGGGATGGTGTTCGATGGCTGTTAGGGATTGAGAGACGAGTGCTGCTACATTTGGGAGTGTACGCAGAACCCACGTCTTTTTTCCGTCGTCTTTTGCTTCCGGGTCTGCGCCAACGAGTGATTCCAGTGCAGAGCGTGACCAGCCTGCTACTATACTGATTAAGAGTTTTCCCTGCAATGCCTCTTTGACACCCTCCTCTTGTAATGTTGCTTCGACCTGTGAAGGGTCGACGCCGAGGATTACGACCTCTGAGGTTTTGATGGCACTTATGTTGTCTTTCCTTAAAATACGGACATTTTTGTGTTGGGAGAAGAGGTCTTGAAGTCGCCTTTCTGAACCCTCACTTTGAACGCAGGCGACAAATTGAGTGATGCCACTGAGAGAGTCCGGAGGGGCGGTGATGAGGCTTTTGAGGATAGGCGTACCGAGATTACCTACAGCAAAGGATGTTTAGCATACTCTTATCTATTCCTATTTGCGTTCGGGATAACTTACCACATCCTAGTATACAGAGAGTTTGGTCTGGCATGGTAACTTCCTAGTGTGCTGATATCTTGGGTGCTTCTTGCTGAAGCTCGAAAGGAGAACTTTAGGGCTTGTGATGGACCGAGGTGAACAACTTCTGTGTATGACCAAAGTTCTTGTTCGAAGAAATTGAGTGTCAACAGAACCTTATTTGACGACCCTACAAAGGCCTGCATTTCGACTTGTGTAATGGTTCTCGGGAGGGAAACCGGTCCCCACTTTTCTTCATGCGACTATCAGCGGGGAAAGCGACTACGGAGGCCCACTTGTGCGCCTACGTCTCTTCTGCACCCAAACACCATGACAAAGATAACGCCAAAGTGCCGATAGTAGCCGTCGAGTAACAAGTACGGAGTTGCTATACTTGGTGTGATGACGACCCTAAAGCACGAATGATGGAAATTGCACCTTTTACAACAATGTATCCATTAAATCAGTCTACTCCGTTACCATGCACTGCAACCTCGCCGCCCTATGCCAGTTATGCCCAGAAAAACCTCCTCTTAACCTCCTTCCGTAACGCGGTAAACTCATCCTTAGTCCTTAACACAGCATCGCGGTTCTCTACTGCTCTACGAAGCAGATACCCTACACACTCGCCCATACTACCCCAGGTCGTGCACTTCAATACCTCGGGCGCCTTACCATTCTCGCTCTTCTCAGCCAGCAAGGAGAAGCTGACTTCGTCGGACATGCCGTGAAGCTGTCCATACGCGACAGGCACAGTTGGTAGACCAGCTTCCAAGCGCTGACGGTAAAGTCTATGGGCTGAGAGTACACTTTCGCGGTTGTGAGAGGCGAGAAATAGATTCACAGAGGGAAACGGGCGTGCAGAGGGTCCGGAAGCACCGAATATACCGATTTGCTGACGAAGAGCACCCTGAGCTATGGTGTTGTAGGCGTTGTCCGTATCTTCTTTGGTGTCGTGGATCAGCGAACGGTTATCGGAGAGAATATATGCGCCTCGAACGAGCTTAAGACCAAGTGTGAAGCTGTCTCTCTCTGCCTCTGCCATATGGTATGCGAGTACGTCTGAGGTGTCTTTGAGGTAAGCTTGGTAGGTGTTGTAGATGACTGCTTTGCCATCGCGGTTGAACTTCCGCATCAGCTCAAGACTTGTACGAGCGATGCCTTTCTGCCAGTGCTGAGACTCTGCGTCGACGATGATCTGGACATTGCGCTCTTTGCACTTAGTTGCGATCTCGTCAAGGGCGTCAAGCATCTGTTGGGGTGGCAGTTCGCCTTTGCTGAATGCCATTGAGACTGCTGGGCCACCTCCCGTTGTTCTGCAGTAGTGTCAGTAATGATGTACTTTCTTCCCTTGATCCGTTCTTGCTGTTACACATACTTTAGAGCCAGGATATCTCCCTCCGAGATGAGATCAAGAGTCCTCAACGTGCCCGCCCTCCACGCCTCGATATCCGTATCATGTACTGCGACAGCCTTTGCATCAACGAACTTGTCTGAGGTATGATGGTTTGCGGATTCATTCTTGTGATCGAATACCATTTCCTTCGCGTACGTCAATATCACTCCTTTGAACCCCAGATCTTTCAGCTGCTTCACACACGCTCGTGTCTCTTGTTCTGTTTCTCCTGCGCAAAACTGATTGTATAGAGTTCTCTTTAAAAGAGCTTTCAATGCAGGATTTCGGTCCACATTGAAGAGGAGGCTTCGGTTTGGTTTAGCAAAGAAAGATAAAAGCTTCAGTGATGGTATTAAGAGAAACTTATTGGACGATACTGTGGCAATGAAAAGTGACCGCAGCAACATGTGTGTTGGCATCGCTGATAGCGGATGTTGTGCAAGCGATTGTTTGGGCGTATATACGGTCGATGTTTTGATCCGTGGAAGCGCGGTCGTGGAGCTGAGCCGGATCTCGAATGTATTGAAGCCATTGACGAGGCCTTTCCTGCAGGTTACACCGCGAAGCGTTGATCTAATGAGCCGTTGCTGTAGCATCATGACTTCAGTGTGTGATGTCGAGACGAGAGAGTCGAGCAAAGACAGAATAGTACTACAAGGTACTCATCTGATAAGTGTAGAGCGTTTCTTCAATTCCGCCTCTTCATCACATACTCTTATCTCAATCTATGTATCACCTAGTGCATGACCCCGCTCGACGTCTCGAACGTGGGGCATTGCTATACTCGTGACTATCGCGTCAATGACCGTCACTCGGACGTGCAGCCGGATCGCGTGGGAAGCCCAGATATGGTTGGTACACTATTGGCAGAATGTAAGGGGCGAAGTGATAAGAATTTCAAGACCAATGATACAAATGAGCGAAAGCGTAATGCTTCTGCAGGTTGGCTAAAGCGGGGTCGATTGATGATGCGGCTTGGATCGGGTTATGCGGGTGACGATATCGGCCTTATAGCGGACCTCATCTTTACGCAAAGTACACTTGAACATCGAGAGAATCGAGCGGGTCGTTCATACCTCGTTCAGGGTAGAATGCATAGTGTAGACAATACAGTACCGCAAAGCCCCAACATCTCGGCGGTTCGCTACCAGATTGGTCTGCTATCAAGACTATCGAGAGCTTTTTTACAGTCGAAATCAGGATAACGCAATGGGATTACCTCATCCATCAAGAATGCATATTCCAACTTGATTAAGGAGAGACGCTACCTCTTACCTGCCCATGAAAGCAATCCCTCAGCCAAGTGTTCATCACCATGCCAATTCCAAAAGCTGGAATGATTCTTGCACATCTTATCGCTGTCGTTGGTAATAAGGCGCTTCTTATTCTCTGCGTCCGCTCCGCACTGCTGCCTTCTGGGCTGGTGTAGAAGTCCAAGCCCAGTAGATGTAGAGGAGTTGCCACTACCTGGGAGAGAACTGGCGTAAAGATTTGTATTGCGGCGTTCTTAGTCGAAGGATCTGGAACAAGAGGATCTGGTGCTGATACGGCTGAACTCAGCATTGGCGGTAGACTGATGGATCCGAATATGGTGATGGCGTCGCGGAAGAGGAAAGTTGCGGCGATGGTTCGCGAAGACCTAGTTGCTCGCGCTGGGGATGTGGACCGTATAGATGAAGCCACTGGTCTCGTGTTTCCCACCATCTTGCTGAACTTAACCTGCTCTACGGATCTACCATATGCTTGGACGAAGCGCACATCTTTCCATACTCCTAGAGGTACATTGACAAGACATGTTGAAATGAACGTAATAGAACTGATGAGTATTCGATCCGCTCCCGCTGTAAGTGCGGTGCCTATGCTCTCAACTGCGTTGGCGGTGGTATATGTGGCTGTATAGAGCGTCCACATGTAGAAGAAAGGCTTTGTTGCAAAGAGCAGCCGTGGCCGTCGGACTGAGTTGAGGATGTTGGTTCTCAGGGTAGATAGCAGAGGCTGATTGGCTGGGGCGGCATTCTCAACTACGGAACTGGAGTACTGTTAAAAGATGAAGTTCAGAACATGAATCACGACTTACCGGTCAATGACTGTCAAGATAGGACTGATCGCTGTTGCGGAAATGGTCGCCGCGGCGACGTCTCCAGCCAAAACAGCTGCCAGTACCTGTCCTTTCCCCCAGGTATTCTTCTCACTCTGCATAAGCTGCTGCGACATTGTGTAGTGTTGTGTGAGTCGTTCACCTTGTGTGACGCTCACTACATGCGCAAATGCATAGGACCCATATGTACCAATTTACGCATCCGTACACCAAGTTGATTCGACAATATCTAGATCAGTACCCATAGCATTAGGCGTCAAGGTCTTTTTGTCTAGTCGCTGTCGTCTCGCAATGCATCCGACAACTAGATCTCTCTAGGCCACGCAAGTGTGACCGGGCGACATCGGTCGGACTGAACATTACGGTTGTCTTCGCAAACCGCGAAGCCAACGGATAGACTCTCGTCATCGTCCATAAAAGGGAAAAATGTACGGTCGGACACCTACGTAGTTTTGCTGTTGTGTCATGTCGGGAGGCCATCCGATCGTGCAGGAAAGCACAACGCGTTATGCGGGTCGATCTTATCGATAACACTAGCGTTCATTGAGATCAGGGGGCTGGGATCACGACAGGACGATAACGCTCACAACATCTGCGGGGTTTGACAATACGTGCAGCAACGGTCTCGTTCCCGTATTGACAGTATGATGGGGCCTCTGCCGATAGTTCCGTCTGGTGATCAGACTTGGCATACGCGTCGCATGAGTAGACAAGCGTATGCAGAACATGTATCATAACCCTCTGAGGTCTCTGTATTTGCAGCCAAACCTTGATTCTCTTATTACCTTACTACCATGAACGTCTCAAAAAGCGATCCCATAGCCATCGTTGGCGGTGGAGCATTCGGTCTCTCCACAGCTCTCGAGCTATCAACTAAAGGCTACACAAACATCACGGTCCTCGAGAGAGACGAGGAGATTCCGTCACGATGGTCCGCTGCGAATGATCTGAACAAAATTATGCGAGCGGAATACGAAGATGACTTCTATACGAACTTGGCGGTCGTAAGTTTCCTGGATGATCCAAGCGTTGCCGTGAGAGGATGATGTGCTAACAACTGACGAACCAAAAGGAAGCGACCCACGCCTGGCAAACTCCTCTATATGCGCCTTACTTCCACCGTGTTGGCTTCTTAAACTGCGTTTCAGGTGCCGCACCACAGAAAGCAGTGGACACGATGCGCAAGTTCCAAGCAGCTGCTGATAAACATCCGGAGATGAAGCCTTTCCTCCATTCTATCTCAGGAGCTGAACAAGTACGCAATATAGCTGGGGCATGGCAGTTCACTGGAGAGATGCCTGGTTGGAAAGGGTACTTCTGCAAATACAACGGCTACGTACATTCCGCCAACGCGTTGAGGGGGATATATCGCGAAGCAGTGAAGGCTGGTGTCAGGTTTTTCTTGGGAGAGACAGCTGGTGCAATAGAGAACATCGTCTACGAAGGCTCAGGAAAGAGCAGAAAGAGTATCGGCGTTCAAACCAAAGCCGGTCGATTTCACCCTGCGAAGCTAGTCATCGTTACCGTTGGCGCTGCAGCACATAAGATTGTCCCCGAACTTGGTACCGAGGTGTCTGCCAAATCTTGGTCTGTTGCACACGTCCGCCTCACTGACGACGAGACCGCAGCACTGCGCGGCATCCCCGTTACATACGCTCGTGATCTCGGCTTCTTCTTCGAACCAGACCCAAAGACGAACCTCCTAAAGCTGTGTCCAATGGGTGGTGGCTATATCAATACCAATCCCGCCACTGGAGTTTCTGAAGCGCCCGAAGGACTCATGCGCTTTGTGCCCAAAGAAGACGAAAGGAAGATGCGAGAGCTGCTTCGCCAAACGCTGCCCTATCTTGCTGATCGACCGCTGGTAAAGAAGTTTATATGTTGGTTTGCGGATACAGCGGACTCTGATTTCATCGTCGACTACGTACCCGAGACCTGCTCTTCTGTCATGTTGCTCTCAGGCGACTCTGGCCATGGTTTCAAAATGTTCCCCATAGTCGGAAGGTGGGTGCACAGCTTACTAAACTCGCGCGACAGGGCACAAAGCATCTCAAGATGGCGTTGGAGAATACCAAAGCAGAAGGCGCAGGGAGAGAGCTTTGATGATGATGTGAGCTGGAGGGTAGGAGATGTTAGAGAGGTCCGCGAAGTACAAGAAGAAGCGGCCAAGTCCAAACTGTAAAGCTTCTCGCGTATAACCTGCTCAACAAGCCTTGTATCACTCTTGTTACATTTCATTGTATACTCGAATCAAGGATCTGGTAGTTGTCTAAAGTCGCGAACGATAGCCAATCCGTTCCCTCAATATCCATAGACTCAGCCACAGCCAGAATCTGCTCAGCCGTCAAATCATCACCAAATCCACTCCCCTCATCACTTACCCCTGTATAGGGAGGTGGCAGCGTGTCCTCTGAATTCAGTAACCCAGCTGTAGATTGATATCCTTCAGGAAAGGAGAGTGGATGTTGCATGCTTGGGCCCGAGCCGATCGTGTTTGGTGACGCAGTGGGTGGCTGTTCCCTGTTCTCGAAGTACTCCGCTAACATTTCTTCAAGTTTGTGGAGCTCCACGTTTCTAAATGCCGCGATTCGGTTGCCACTAGATACTATAGTTTCCATAAAGCCGTAGGCTTTATCCAAATGACCCGTTTGGTTGTCCATCAAGCTGAAGTCAACAAAACGGGTTAGGATGAGGACCATAGTCGATACAAAGAGTGCGTCAAGATCCCATGGGAGGAACGTCTCTATAATGTAGTCAGTACGGGAGAAGTCTATATGGCTAAACTGTCGTACCAAGTAATCCTTGATCTTGCAGACTTTCCAGAATATTCAAGATTTTCTGTGAGGCTTCAAGTGATATGTGTAGCAGATGCCGTATTTTGCGTGATGAGACCAATGGTCGCACTTCTTTTGGTGACTCAAAGACTTTCTTCAAGCAGCAGAAAAGCAATGGCCTCGTCACAACAACAATGGTCTAAATATTTGTCAGACTGGTTCTGTGTTCTACAGAGTTTGGGTCTTGCCTGGTAATACGACAAATGTAGATGTGCCGGCATCCTCGAGATGCCTCCAAAGCGTTCGTCAGCATGTAGAGGAAATGATTGTCGGAGCTCTTCCGCCAATGACCCAAGATCGTCCAAAACAGCCTTGATGCTTAGGACAAACTTCTTGCGCAGGCGACCTTTCGAGCCATACACAGCTAGGCATCCAAGTCAGTCATCGCTTTTACGAGAGGTTACATCACGTACTTTTAGCTATCTCAGCATGTATACGTGCAAGTCTGATTTGCATGTTCAGCGCTGCAGCTCGCTGAGCAGAGCCTACGAAGTCTGGGGGCTGGCAGGATATATCGTCGTCGTGGATTGATTGAGGCAGACCCATCAAAGACGTCATTTGGCGATCGAGGATATAAACTGTCCACCAAATTCGGCGGCATCGCTGAACAAGAGGCTCGCCCAAGTTTTCCACTGGCATATCCGTATGCATTCCTTGGATCATTGAGATGCGCATAGCTTGGCCGATCTAACCAACGTCAGCTAATGTGTAAACATGGAGATGATTGCATACTGTTACGTGCGCTGCATTTCTTGAATCCAAGGCTTGCAAGTACAGCGCTATACAGCAAAGTATTTCGACCGCCGTCACAGGCTCGCGGCATAACCTGTTGGTATCTGGGAGTAGCTGAAGGGCTTGTACAAAGAAGTCCGCACCTGGTGGCCGTGGTGCATTTCCTTTTGCTTGGATAAATGTCTTCCCAAAAGCCAATATTATAAGGAAATGTATGTACCACATACTCTCTTTCCATGCACCGGTCTCAGAATTCGAATAGAACGCGTGCATGTTCGCCATGAATTCATCCTCGTCGAAAAGATGTACAAGCTGAGCGCAATGGAATTTCACAGCATTGATCAGGAAAATGGCGTAGTCGATACTGGGAATAACTGGAGAAGTGGAATCTGGAAGGCTGCGAGTACCATCCCAGGGCAGATCATATGCTGAGCCATCAAACAACAAGTCGGCACTTGGAAGAGGTGATTTTCGAGTGTGCTCATGCACCAAATTGAGTATCTGTCCATGGAATGACCAATTTGAGGAGGTACCAAGATAGACTGCAAACAAGATCAATCGAAACTCATTAACGGTGGCTGGCAAGCTTACAAGTTCGTCCAGAAGACGACCAGAATTTGAAGGATTCAATAAGTGGGTTGATTAAGTTCGATTCGTCAGGCTCAGGTCTATGCCCAGGCGAATTGTCTCTCGTACCCCCGATGCTAGATGGATTGACTTGCTGTCGGTCATGGTCCGGTTCTAGTGCGTCTATATCCTCTTCCTGCGCCGTTGCACCATCTGCCGTCGTTTGCACCCGAGATGCTATTGACGCATTGCCTTGGTTTTGCTCTAACCGGGCTACCTTTGCGCGAAGGTCAGAGAGATATCTAAGTAGCATCAGCATCCGCATCAACTTCTTCTCCCAAGATTGGAACACGTCAAACTACCCTTGTGTTACTAGAACCTTGTTTTCTCGGTCATCGAAGATGCAAGTAAGGTTTCGTCTGCCACAGCTTGAGCACGGCTGCTGCCCTGAACATTTAATCTTTTGCCTCCTGCATCGCGAGCAACTGTTCGTAGTTGTTGTTAGTGCACTTTTCCAGCGCCATGCGAGTTGCGTACGCGTTTGAGGATCGTTTTGTCACTTTACGATGATCGTTGGAGGTTGTCATCGCGTCTGCTGGGGCTCACTCATGAGAACCTTGCAACCTGGGAAGAATGGTGAAGCAATTCTGACCGAGTGCTGTGCTCGATCGATATCAACAACGCGGAAGACGCGCCAGCGCGCATGCAGAAACCCCACGCTTGTGAGCCAGGGATGTCGAGGGCTGAGTTAGGATAGATACCGCTATGTGCGGGGACCAATGGAGATCTGAGGTCATCGCTCCAACTTGATCTTCCTTCGCACATGGCTGCCATCTCTGCTCCACGTCGAAGTCGCAGAAGACGGTATAAACGCTAAGCATTATTTCTCCGTCTTTGTCTGACTGCGACATAATATTTCTAGTGCTCAGTCGAACTCTGAAATTGCATCTGGAGATTGGGATGCCTTGCTCGGTTCCCCTAGGTTATCGGGCTGAGGGGCTGGCTTAGCGTATCGCGCACGGAGACGTGCGACGGATGCGCTTCCGTCCCTCTTGCAGGACCACTCGTCATCAGATGTTCTGAACACTGATTCAGGCCAAGGAGAATACTGCGAAACTGAATTGCTTGAGACGACAATTGTCTTCAGAAGAGTACTGTAGTCAAGGCATGAGAAGTGACATTCCTAGGACGAAGTCCCCCAGCGTATTGAATAAGGTCGAAAACCAAGAACGCGCAGCAGCAAAGATTATTCTGGGAAACCCAAAGCATGTTCTACAGAATGGATAGTAAACATGAACGATGATCCCAAAGAAGGATGACCGTGTGCAGAGCCTTTCGCGGGTCATTGTCATCTGCTCTGGTGTTCGTTCTCCACTCGGACTGCCACGGGTTTGGTTAGGTATGCATCGGGAGGCCTCCCGATCAACTTCTGAGCTCATGCGAAGTTAGTTCCGGCGTGGTGAGCTTATCGGCCAACCAAAAACCACCGTAACATATGTCGACGACGGGTATTCGCGGGCATGGAAGCTGCAGCGATGTCGCTATGCGTCACGAGTGATGGTCGGGTCGCGTTGCGGCTATTGACTCTCACAGAGTGATGGATATAGAAAGCGTGGTTCAGCAACGAAGTGCATATGTGCATCACCTACTCACACCCCTCCCTATCCCACTATCCTTTTCCAGAATGTCGAACATGCGATCTCTAGTACGACTCTCACATACTAGAAGGCGACCTCTGATAAGTACGTCAAGATGCGCGTCGCTTCATTGTCAACTACGCACAAAAGCAACGGTACCGTTTCGGTTACCTGATGCCCGTAACGAGCCAAATCCCACATACGAGAGAGGTTCTCCAGAGCGAACGAAGCTGGAGGAGACTCTGAAGCGCATGAAGTCGCAGATTCCTATGCAAAGCGAGATTCATTTCAATGGCAAATCACAGCAAGTTCACAGCTCTTGGGATCAGCCATTACCAGCGGACCACAAAACGACCTTCACCAGCTATCCACTTACAACCAAGGAACAAGTATCGAAAGCTATCGATTCCGCCCTCAAAGCAAAGAAATCATGGGAAAACACGCCTTTCGTTGATCGAGCGGCAATCTTTCTCAAGGCGGCCGAGCTGGTAGCAACCAAATACCGCTATGAACTGATTGCTGCAACCATGCTTGGCCAAGGCAAGAACATCTGGCAAGGCGAAGTAGACGCTGCTGCTGAGTTGGCAGACTTCTTCCGACTAAACTGCAACTACGCCGCGGAGATTCTTGAGAAACAACCCGAGCGAGGCACAGACGGAATGTGGTCTCGTATGGACTACCGCCCAGTAGAAGGGTTCGTCTACGCCGTTTCACCGTTCAACTTTACTGCTATCGGCGGTAACCTCATCTCTGGCCCTGCTATCATGGGTAACGTGGTACTCTGGAAGCCGTCTCCTTCAAACATCTACGCAAGTACCATCGTGTACAAGATCCTTCTTGAAGCTGGTCTACCACCGGATGTTATTCAGTTCGTACCTGGTGAGCCTGAGGAGATTAACGATGTCGTGTTTAACCATAGAGACTTCGCTGGGCTCAACTTCGTCGGCTCCTCAGACGTCTTCAGATCTCTCTGTGCTCGCATTGGTCAGGGTATTGGTAACAGCACATATCGCGAATTTCCACGAATGGTCGGAGAAACTAGTGGCAAGAACTTCACTCTCCTTCATCCCACGGCGGATGTTCAATCTGCTGTGAAGCACGTCGTTCGCGCTTCGTTCGAGTATCAGGGTCAAAAGTGCTCGGCAACCTCTCGTCTGTATCTTCCAGAGTCGCGATCAAAGGAGTTTATCGATACACTGGTCGAAGACGTGAAGGGTATTACCCAAGGCAACCCACATGAAGATCTCGCAGCCTTCATGGGCCCGGTAATCCACCGTCGGTCGTTCGAAAAGATCAAGGCTGTCATCGACGAGAGCAATCAGGACTCTTCACTCAAGCTTCTAGTCGGCGGTACCTACGATGATTCCAAAGGCTTCTACATCAAGCCAACCGTCTACCTCGCAGATTCGCCAGACCACAAGCTCTTCAACTATGAGATCTTTGGCCCTGTACTCGCCATATATGTCTATCCCGATGCGGAGTGGAGTCAGATTCTGGAGAAAATCGACCAAGCTGGTGGCAACTTCGCGCTTACAGGTGCCGTTTTCGCCAATTCCCGTGCAGCTATACGAGAGGCAGAAGACGCCCTCCGCTATTCTGCTGGAAACTTCTACATCAGTAAGTGCTCAACGGATGATTACTTGACGTAATCGCTAACGAGTTATTAGACTGCAAGACTACCGCCGCGCTCATCGGTCAGCAGAGCTTCGGTGGAAGTCGCGCAAGTGGTACAAATGATAAGGCTGGTTCTTCGAACCCCATGTTCCGCTTCGTTTCTCCACGCCAAATTAAGGAAGAGTTCTTTCCTGTCTTTGATTACCGGTATCCTTCGAACAACTGATTTGTGTGTTATCTTCGGTACTAGAAACTGCAGCACGCGGGGGGACCAGGCATTCTTTGTTCTGAATCAGCGTTTCGGTCGGTGTTTCTACTATATGACGAGCATTGAGGGTTCTCAAGCCTGATTCGCAAGAAGAATTTATGGTAGAACGAGGATAAGCAATTTGAGCAAAATCTCATTTCTACAGTTTGCCGTGACAGGTATAGATTGGAATGACAACTCCCTCGCATTGAAGATACCTGTATTGATACAGGCAGTGGCCATGGGCCCCGTATTATAACGGTTTGTTTCGATAGAAATTTGCTAGTTAAATGAGAAAAGATTTTCCAACTGATAGCTGTCGTACGACGGCATGTCATTATTTTATCTCTCCTTGTTCGTTCGACCCTCGTATTGCTCCAAAACTGTAAGCAAATCGTCTACAAGTGCTGAAGTGTAGCGGAAATTGAACGCCTTGCGGCGGTTCTCGACATATTTCCGAGGAGTTGTAGTTGTTCTCTGGTCTGGATCTATGTAAAAGTATTCGAGTTCCTTCTCGCGCTTGTTGTTGAAGCGTTCCAGATCAGTTAACTCGCAAAATCCCAGAGGATTTAAAGTTGTTCTTCGGTCTAGATCTATATAAAAGGATTCGAATGCCTTGCGGCGGTTTTCGAAGTGTTTCCAAGCAGTGAAAGTTGTTTTCTGGTCTCGATCTTTGTGATTGGGTTGACATGAGTCTGGAAGGCAGTCCAACACTGTGTAGTCTGAAGATGGCCGCACGCCCATGAATATATCTGCGCCGTTTTCTAGGAGTATCTCAGCCATCTTAGTGTAACACCCTGATATTGCTAGAGCAAATTGCTCCGAAAGCAGTTTCTTCTTTTCAGAAGGGCTTAGGGTTTTCTCATTTCCAAGTAGAGTACCGCACATGGTATGGTTTCTGCCTTTTACAGCAAAGTCGAAAGGATTGAGTTTAAGGAAGGGATCTACTGATGTCATGCTTGCACCGTACTGCAGAAGTACTTTGGCAATAATCTCCAGGTTTGAAGCGACAGCAATAGCCAGTGGTGACGATCCCATAGGGTCAAGTGCATTCGGCGATGCCCCTCTGCCGAGAAGCATGCTTACCATGCGTTCATCATTGCGATGTACAGCCGCGCCGAGTGGTGAGACGCCTTGAAACTCTGACGCACTCCAAAGACCAGGCTCTTGTGCAAGCATGTCCTCTAACTTCTCTTGTTCACCGTCCCACACAGCATCCGTCAAAGAGATGAACTGGCGTAGTTTAGGATGAGGGGAGGGAGCTAGAAGTTCTTTGATCAACCAATCAGGCTGATGCTTACTGCCCCGTGTATCCTTTGCCAAATCTCTTGCTTCCGGGCTTTTTTCTGCTCCCTGATCAAGCAGCATCTGCACAATTCTTCTTGCATCGCGACGCATCAAAAGTGTTGTCCCAATTGTGTCGTACCTCGTGTTTTCATAAGCAGTTTCTACCGCCCTCATCAGAGGTGTCATCCCATACGAATTGTCCGTGCGAAATTTGGCGTTCACGTCCACGCCGCCTTGGTCCAGGCACATCCTGACCATAGGAACGTTCCTGGCCGCAATGGGATAGTTAAGGTCCATGTGAACATAAGCCATTGATTCTTCACCAGCACCTGCTATACCACTATAGGTAAACATAGTTCCAGTAGGATACTCCTCTGACGGCTTTGGGTATGGCATGAGCCTCCAAGACTTGAGATCTGTCGTGTTGGTCCATATCTCGGTTGCAAAACTGAAACGGAACATGGCGACAAAAGCCTAGTATCTGGTTAAACATACACTAAACTCTCGTGACAGACTAACCTTCAATTTCTCTAATATGAGTTCCTTTGCAACCCAAAGATTGAATTTGGCGTTGCTTATGTCCTTGAGCTTCTGTTCTTCTTTCTTTGAGGCTGTTCCCAGGCTTGCGACAATAGTCTTGACACTAGCTTCAAGCTCAATCTTGAGCTGTCGAATCTCTTCAGTGAGAACCTCAATCTGTCTTTCCGCTTGTTCTTTGAGACGATTCATTTCTTCTCGAGTTTTATTGTGCTCTGCGGCATTCTGATCGATCGACATCTCGATTGCGGTCCTGGTGTCGATTTGTGCTCCTAAAACTCGATCAGACTGATCACCGGATTGTTGTGAAAGCTCGGTTATTTGAGAAGATAGTTTCTTGTGTTCTTCTTTGTCTTGTTTAGCATGAGCTGTTATACTGGTCTCTGTGCGCGAATGAAGTGTATCTAGAATGGCGTGTTGTCGCTCGAATCCGTTCTGTATCTCGTCGTCGATGTGAACTAGTGAATGAACTACGGACTTGGTTTCGTCAGCAAGTGAAGTATAACCTTCTGATTGCTGAAGTGCCACGACATCGATCTTGCTCCTGTCGCCCAGAATTAGCCCTGTCTGGTGATAATAGTTGTGGGACGAACCGTAAGCCCACGATTATGCGAATGTTCAACTCCTCTTTGTACATCTTTACTCTTTTTTCCAGGTTATCGATGTCATCCTTACTCCATACACTCTTCAAAGCCTGTCGGAAACTACGAAATCTTCCAGATTTGCCTTGAACTGTGAGTTTCTGAAGAGCCTCTGTAAGCTCTTGCGATACGACTATGCATCCCTTGCACAGATCACAAAGCGCTTGCTCGTCCATGGTAAGGTTACTACTCGCAGCGGTTGTGGTGAGCGACTCTTGTAGCTTCCTTGAGAGCACTGAGATATCTCCAGAGACTTTGCCTAGGTCGTCGTATTCAACAAGACTACCGTTAGCTGAGTTGTAGATGGCATGACTCTTTGCGAATATCTTGATAGCAAGTTCGACAAACTGAGTGACATTAGCGACAGCCCCAAGCGCTATCAGAGGGTCGAGCATGACGCATGAGAATTTTGGGCTGTTGTCGCTCCGCTTCTGTCGGAATGGTAATCGGCAAATGCTAGACGTCAATCAAGGAGAGAAAGCTATGGGCTTTCAATGAAGATGGGTGGCTCAGATTGTTGTCATCGCATCGCACAGCCCCATGCGCAGCAACGCCTGCATCTGGTATGAACCAATCGTCGTACTACGTTCTTTCCGCATTATGCATCAAGCAGTCTTGACAAGGCTGACTTGAACATGTCGATGTACTTGGAGGCTGATCGGGTTGTTCTGCCACAGGTCTCAGAAGAGGTGAATCACCGGCCATTGTAACACTGTCGAAGCTCAGATCCAGATGTGGAAGTGTATTTTGGCTGGGTTGGGCTTGGGGTTGGTCACATCCACGAGGAAGAGCTGGCAAGCGGACCGGGGAAGAAGCACAGACCGCGTACCTAGACCCTGGACATCCCTGTCATGACGGCGCAGCTGTCAGTCGAGATCCGCCATCGTTACCAACCCTCAACTGGAGTCTGTTGCTGTTCTTGTCGTCCCGGGGTTCAATTTCTAGCAGTCGCCATGCCGATTGATCGCCGTACCAGATGAGCTGCTTACGAACCCGCAGCCCGCGCCGCTTAGCCTTCCTACCATGTCCGCGTCGAACATCCGGGTATTTGTACAATGGAAGGACTCTACCGTGTTCGCCGGCGAAGACATAGAATGCACTATTACCTTCAAGAATGTAGCCTCGCCTGAGGGACGCGATCGCTCCCCGGTCCGGAGACAGAATGGCTTCGCGACGGGCGGGGAGCGACAGCGCAAACTACCGCCAGTCCACTCGTCGACGAGGCCCTCGGTATCCCGCAATTCGTCCTTTGCCTCGCAGTTACCGCCCTCACATCTTCGTGGACATCGCCCTGCACTATCATTACATACGCCGTCAACAGCTGGGGGACGCCGATCGCCTGTTCCGCCAAGCGTCATACACGGGAACAACACAGGAACGCCGAAACATGGAAGATCCGTGTCAATCGTGTCCCTAGGGACAGATGCTGGAACCGAAGTCAGCCATGAGAGAGGCATACCCATTAGACGCCCAGCAAGAGGGCATGGAAGATCTGCAAGTCTGCAAGTCGTGCCCGGCAGGCCAAACTCGTATCCAAGTATGAAGGACACACGCGATATATGCTTCTGGCTGACATGGTAGCAGTTGCTTCACCAGGTCATCGATCAGCTACACACCCCTCTCCATTATCCGGCGAAGCGTCGTCTCCGACAGTCCACAGCCCTGGCGACTTTGCCTTTCCTGCGCGTCAGAACAGGAGACGGCCTGGTGTTACGACCACACCGAGTACCCCAGCTCTTCCTACTACAGGACGGAAACCTTCCAATTCCTTCTCATCCAACTTCAAGTTCCCAGCCGCCCCTCCGCCTGAAGACGCCACACAATCACAGCCTAGTAGCAGCCCTACAAAGCAACCCATACACGTCCGGCGCAACTCCCCGCAACCGCCATATGACCATCTACGGATATCAGGAAGCTCCAATCTCGAAGTGCTTTCGCCCGTTGCACGGATAATATCTGCGTCAAGCCTCAATGACACTCCTCGTAGCAGTGGAGAGTTCTACTCGATGAGCAACAACTCCAACGAAACACTAGCCTCGGAATATGCAGCTCATCCCTCCGCGCGTCTGCTACAGCGTCCGATGCACCACCGACGACTATCGCATCTGGCACCGCCCAATAGACAGGCTCTCCCTGAGTCGATAATGATGGGCTATGCACAAATAATGGGTTCCTTCACGCTGGATGGATCCTTGATCAATCAGGCACCTTTCGAAGAGGTCAAAAGGAAGGGAGTAGTAGGTGGCCAGGGTGGAGGCGGCGTCGTGGGAGTAGAGAAGACAAAGCGCGAGAGCGGGCTCTTTGGCGCGCTAGGCTGGGGCAACATAGGAGAGTCGCTGGGTGGGCTATTGGGCGCATCAGAGCCCTCTAGTATCCGAGAGATGAGGGGTGTTGCCAGCTCCAAGACCGTTCCGCTCATCACTACACCCCAATCCATTCTGTTCGTCGATTTGAGGCTTGCGCCTGGCGAAAGTCGCAGTTACACGTACAGCTTTACAATACCCCGAGGTCTCCCACCTTCACACAAGGGGCGGTCGATGAAGGTAGCATACAATCTCATCATTGGCACGCAACGCGCGGGCTCGACCAAAGAACAGCAAGTGAAGCATGTGGACATTCCGTTCAGGGTTTTTGGCAGCGTGAACAGTATGTTTGTTCCAAGTATGGATGCATTGACATGCTAACTCCGACCAGGCCGTGGCGAGATACTTGGACATGATCTCATGTCTCCGTACATTATATTGCGAGATCAAGCTCGAACAGCCAGCATAGAGCCCTCTTCAGGTGCGAAGCTTTCTCCGACTAAGAAAGGCCCTTCGGGCAAGGCAGAAGAAAACACCTTTGGCGACTTCCTGGAGTACGTGAACAACCTGCTAGATCGACCTAGACACAATTCTAGCATGGGCTTGCTCTCACCTACAGGTACCATGCCTGGACGGTCATCGATCGCTGAAGAACCTCAAACCATGAAGGAGGCCATCGACACAGCCATTCTGCGCAGCAACTTGACAGGTGCTGCGAACCAGAGCGCAAACCGCTTCGAAATCGCCCGCAGCGGCCGCCGTGTTGCGGTCATCATGCTGGCGCGACCCTCTTACCGACTAGGCGAAACAATGACTGCGGTGATCGACTTTACAGACTCGCGAATTCCCTGCTATTCTATACATATTTCACTGGAAACCTCTGAGAAGGTCGACCCGGCGATAGCACTTCGCTCGAATGCTTCGATATACCGTGTTACGAAGAAAGTGCACGCATCTTTTTCAGAAAACGCGCTGTTTGCGCAAAAGTTAGCCTTCTCGCCTACGATACCCCCCAATGCCACACCGGAGTTCATCACCAGCGGAGTTAGCCTGGAGTGGAAGTTAAGGATCGAGTTCATCACTCCGAGAGTAATGCATGAGGATGGGGAGGAGACGACACAGGACAATCTCTTGGAAGAGATATCCAGCGACGACCGGGGTGTTATATTAGCGGCGGCGCAGCGATTACCAGCTGAGAGTTTTGAAGTTCAGGTACCAATCCGGGTATATGGGGCTGTAAGTGGAGCACCTGAAGCACCTGACGAGCAAGGACTTCCCGTGTGAAGTTGGCCATACAAATGGCAGCCATTTCTATCAGCTCAATTTTGGAATGCGATGCAGCAACGGCGGGTTGCCGCACTGCTCTTCCAGCTTTTGTCACCTAGGTTGTTACACAGCTGGTGACTTCTCTAGAGGCGACGTTATCTTCTGTATATGATCATGGATGTTTCGTGAAGGATCTCTGGGGAAAAAGGGATGGTAGAGAGTGACTTGTAGTATACCAGCTCATTACTGGAGCAAATGCGGATCCCATGACATAAGGTCCGAGGTTCACAGTAATACCATCGATTCAAATGCACTTGCAGTCCTCTGTTGTGTCATCCGGCATGACTGATATGCTTTTGGTGAACCACAACTCCTTTGTCACAGGACCACCAATTTAACCTCGTAAACCTTCATACTTTAAAATCCTTTACGACCTACCTCTGAAGCAAGACAAATGCTACTTGAGACGATATTTCCTTCCTTCGTCGACACGAAGCTGAACGATATAAATGAGTGAGGTAGAGATATGGGAAACGGCAGTGAACACTGTATCAGGGACTACAACGGCAGGCTTGGGTCTAAAGATCGCCAACAAAGGCGGTTGTCAAGTGTACATCCCTCTTCCTTCCCTCCCTTAGCCGGTCGAAGCATTGCTCACATACAACTCTCTCCCAATTTGTTCCTCCTATGCAGTACTTTTTTGTCCGGACTCTTGCGGCAGGAATGGTATACATCTACCACAGTGAAATCCACACCATTGCTCGCCACATGCTCGCCGGATCAATCCTGGCTATCGAACTGTGGGAACACCATTGTGAGGGAGAAGGCGTCCTTAAGACGACGGTATGCGCGAGATCGACACAGAAGGTAGCGAGGAGCCCGTGTGCCATGAAGAAGCATACGCCGTCGAGTTCCAGATAAGGAGGGTGTTGTAAAGTCATTTCCATCTCATCACGGTCCAAGATACAGAAAGAAGCTCAGCTCGTATTCATGTCATGTATTCATCATGTCGAGAAAAAGTGTATGTAAATGTAATCGCAGTCCATCGCTAAGAAAGCGTTCTTCACAATCCATGTCTGGGAAGTGTCGTACTTCCCCCTTTAAAACTTTGCTGGTCGCTCACATTCCATCATGCCCCTTGCACTCGTCGTTATGCGCTTACAATCCACCAGGTCCTGCAGCTGAATGTGCGCTGGCACCAGCGCCAGGGCCCATGGTCGCGTGTGTTGCATCGCGGTGGGCAGCTTCACGCGCCTCGCGCTCCTTGGTCTCTTGGGCAATCTGGTCTTCGGTCTTCTTGTTTCCTCGGGCGATGAGCTTCTCGAGGAGACCGCCCTTCTTTGGCGTGTCGTGCTTGTCTGAGTCTTCGAATTCTTTCAGGTAGGCGACGCGCTCTTGAGGGGGCATCGCGGCGAGTTCAGAGTCGATTGAGTCACGGTTCTCTGTTGAGGGTGTTAGTGGTGGGCTCAGTGAGGCTGAAGGATAGCGAGGCGCGTTGTTGAGGGAAGACTATTCGCGACGGACCAACGTGTATTTACTACGACTACTGGACGCGATGCTTGGTATGTCACTTGGAGTTATCACTTACCCTCGATGGTACCGACATTACCAGTGCTGGTGGTGACATCGTTCTCGGTCTTGTTCTTGCTGCCGATGTGAAGCTTCTCCTTGATCTTGTCCATTGTCGGTGGTTTGTTTTAGGTGTTGGTTTGGGGTGTCTGGGGTATAGGTCTGTATTATTGATGTATCTGAATATCGAGGCAGAAGATTAGGTGTTTGGGGTGTTGTCCAGGTTGGAGGAAGCGCGCGCGGGGATGAGGGGTGATAGCTTCAGCCATGCGTGTCACCTACGTCATAGCCTCAGCATAGTCCATCTCCCAACTGCCTTGTTGGAGGTGGACCTAGTCAAGCGCGGTCCACGCATTCTGCATTCATTTCCAAGCTATGCAGAGAACATCTTTTTGTGGCTTGCAATTGCAATGGGCCTTCCCGCTCGGGCTTGGGTTGTATCCGATCTCTGCTTCAGCCTCACGTGTGGAGTACCTCGCACCCGCACCCAGGAAAGCGCAGCTGATGAGTAGGGCTCTAGCACAGTTGTACCTGCATCTCTTCATTTCATCTACGAATTAAGGAGATTAGTCATATGGTACTCAGGAGTTGACAGTTTCAGAAGCCACATACAAGATGATGGTATGCGATACTTCAGTCTGTAGGCCACCACGAAAGCTCTTCGCGTGACAGCATGACCCACGTATGCAATCGGCCATCACACACATTGAAGTCATCGTAGTTCACATCCCCACTTTTCCATTTAAAGCTCATGAAGCCCGCGGGCCACATATTCGACTTCTTGCCGCAATCCTTGCTAGAAGTATGCGCATCTGTCAGCCCTACGAGCCGATCACCCGGGTATCTCTTGGTAGGTGTTCTGCCTCGTAGAAACCAGTATTATCATCCTCGGCGTCCTTAGAAATATGTCAGAACTTTGTGACCGCCCTTACTTGAAGCCAAAAGTCGTTTCGTGAGATGAGTTCAGATGTCGTTATTCGCGCACACCATGCTGTTGAGATCTGAGTGGTGCCTAGGATGATTATTGAATATCTCCAGGCTCTGACAAGAATTCTTACCCGTTCCTCGCAGTCTCGTCGAAAACCTCCTAGCTCTTTTATAAGTTTGCACTGTTATTTCCAAGCTCACTCCTCGTGGGCCATATACATTAAGAAGATGTGGATCTCTGCTGCAAGTCCCGTGCCTAAGCCTTTTGCAAAATAGTAATCAATATTCTCGCATTCGTGTTGCGTATGCATTAAATCCTGCCCATTTCCCGTACATGTGTGGTATCTCTAGAAGTATGCCAGACCCAAACGCCTTTGCCGGACTCTGTCCAAAATTAAAAACTATTTATCCATGTTTGCTGCGAGGAAATTGCGGTGAAATTGGCGATACACCAGAGCGGAGTGTAAGTTCGCCAGTCGCGTATCCGTCGTCGCTGGGCACACCGCTCACACTGTGGCTTGCACTGCTCTCTACGTCCATCTCGTGTTGAAAACGTGGATGCGGCGGTACTTCTTGCCATCTGGGTGTCACCGGCATTATCGAGTCGCCATGCAGCTCTTGTGGTTCGTCTGCCATATCAATGACTGTCTTTTGATCTTGTGGATACGCATGGCCAGGGAACTGGTCGTTCACAGGGGAGGCGAGTTCCGTCAATGGCGTGCCATGAAGTTCTTGCGGGCCCACAGCTTTGTGAGGCAGGCTACCCGCAAGAACGTTAGAACTAGAATCAATTTCTGATATGTGTTTGCTTGCGAGCTCGTATCGCTGTTCTTTTTGCTGTTTGCTGCGGTGTTTCCGGAAGAAAAATATACCCAGTGCTAACAGGAGGAGAGCAGCGATTGCGCCTATAACAATCCCAGCAATGGCACCTCCGCCGAGCCCTGAAGACGAAGTTGAAGTTTGTGTGGAATCGGAGTCGCTCGGTGATCTGATCGTGATGACGTTTGACGCGGGCAAAGGATCGGGAAAGACTGCCTGTGCAACCGTGAAGTTTGCCCGTTCATAGTCTACTATCAGATATGCCTCCTGCAGCAATGTCCTGCCAAGTGCGTATTGTGTATCGTTGGCGGCACGGCGAATCGGGAAGTAGTTCGTTGCGTTCGGGTAGTACGGATACGAGGCTTGAAGATCGAAGGCTGCATACGGCAGTTCTATGTTGGTGTAGTTCGTGGTTGTATCTTCGAGCGAGTTTACAAGCTTGAACGTGAGGGTTGGGTTGTTTGAGACAAGTTGTTGGTGGATGGTATCGTTGACAAGGTACAGGTCTGTCTCAGGATCGTAGGTCAACCCAAAGGCTGTCTCGAACTGTGCACAAACGTCTGCAGGTAACCACAAGTGTGGGACTGTAGAGTCGATGACGGAGAAGTGTGCTCCGGAGGTCAGGGAGTAGGTGCCCTGTAGTGTGTTTGTCGCCATGATTGAGTCCACTCCTACAGTCAGGAGCCGAGAGGGGTCTTGGGAGAAGGTAAAAGAGAAGTCGTTCGCACTGGGCTCGAATCGCGTCGCATCGTAGCCTCCCAGAACCAGGTTACCAAAGACGGATTTCAATCTGTAAGTTGCGCCAGCTGTGTACGCATAGGCGAAACTAGGAATCTTTTTGCTCTCGCGCAGTTGGTAGAGGAAAGAGTCGATGGGCTGGCTCCCACTGTTGAAGCTGGACTTTGCCTGGCCAAGACCAAGGAGGCCCAAGTAGTAGTCTGGATCGGCAACAGCAGCAACGACCTGGCGCGTCAGTGATATAGAGGAGCTGCTATCCGCAGCTGCGCCTAACGTGACAGTGTCCAGGCCAAACAGTCCTCTCCCTGTGTAGTTGAGTGCGTCCTCCAAATCCACATCGTATTGTCCAATCGCCGACCATGTTGTCGACGCGTTGACCTGGAAGCCGGTGCTTTGCGTGCTCTGGAAAACCTCTATTCCTCGGAGTTGTGGGCAATTCGTCGGGTCGACTCCCTCCAGACATCCTTCTTCGGCAATGACGTATGTGACGCCTCCCTTTGTGCTCGGCAACACACGAAAGTCTTGTCCTGGTGTTCCAACGCTTATCTTGAAGGTGCTCCAGCTTCCATCCGCGCCGTCAAACTTATCCGAAGGAGGCACGACATATGGCTCCGGGGCCTCGGTAGCTCGCGCTGTGAGGCGCATTGTGTAGCGAGCGAACGGTAGTGAAGGATTGCCGATGTCTCTACATGGACCTGGAAGCGATTGATCGTCGGCTCAGACGGTCTGAAGCAGGTAGCACATGGCGCAGTTGTCTATCGGAAGATTTTGGGACCCCAGGTCGAGTCAGCTCTGATACCGGGAGTGCGGTCCCTGGGCTATCGGAAGCCCTGGAGTCTAGAGCGGTTCATGGACGTTTTGTCCAAGAACCCACCACAACAGGTGCGGGCGTTGCGTGACGATCGCCCACGCCCTAGTCGTTAGGCCGCCATAAGCTATGCAGCATGATTCGATGACTGCAGCATTGAAGGCATGGCTAGTTTCCAAGGTTCGTCGAGCGCAATACGAGGTCTCATGGGAGAGGCGCATCCGGTGGCATGCTAAGGGGTAGCGCACGGTTTAGTCAGCCTCCCCACCAATGACGGACCTTTGGAACCATTCCCCAGCTCATCGTATCAGCCTCCTTTCGACGCTATCCCGGCCCAAGCGGCCACACCTCGACGCCTCCGTCATGCTATCAGATGTTCTCTTTTGATAGCACTCGAGACATGCAGGTAGTCAGCAGTGCCCACTCACCCATTTTGGTTGAGTTGGCTAGATGCGCACGCCTTGTTCCGTTCAGAACTATTACCTACAAGCTCGAATTGTGTTCGCCGAGAACCTTAAGACCTAGCCTAGCAATCTCTTCACTTGGCCCTAAAGGGCAAACCTAGTAGTTCGTTGCTCCAGTCTACAGCAATCCCACTCGAGATCCGATCGGTCTTGCGGGACAGATCTTTTAAGTCATATAGGGTATATCGGTTCAGCCTAGAATGTGAAACAAGCCTCGTCCATGACACTACCTAGATACTGGCCACACATTCTTCGACTGCCGCAAGTGTTTTCCAGTGCACTGCGGACCATGTCAGCGCGAAGCTTGAATTTAGGCGGATATACATGGTATTTCCAGTTGATCAGCACGGCAGACCGGGGCTGGAAGATGCCCTGGCAGTCATACGCGTCAACGGTATGTGCCTCGTGTTTCCGCTAAGCGTAGCTACCACTAGGGCTGTGCATGGATCGCGAGCTGGTCATGCGTACGAATAGCCTTCATCGAATGATTGGAATTTGAACTGTTTTGGGCTGAATCTCGCTGTTTTCGCTCTTACAGTGCTCTTTTGCATGTGCGACATCTTGCTTGACCTTTACACTGTCACTCGCTTGGTGTAGAAGGATCATTGCAAGATGCGGCGACTTGTCAGTCTACTGGGGCCTGCGCTGGTTGTGGCGGGCTTAGATACGAACATACACAACAGGAGAGGTACGTCATTTTTGTCAGGCAAGTTTCAGGTGGCTAACAATCCACAGATGGTATGCAGCAGAGTCCGTCTTGAGACCATCAAAATTGACGTTTTCAGGTAATAATACATCAGTGATGGCGCCGCCAAGTAACACGGTACTACTCGACTCAACTACTTTACATGTGCCTGTTGCTGTTACTCCAGGGGCCATACCAGGTCCAGCTTACGATGTGAGCTCTTCTTTGCCTGCGCCGTCGGACATAACATCGTCGGTTTTCCACAGTGTTCCTCCACATCTGCCCACTCCTCCTCGGGTTCCTATTTACACAAATCGCACCAACTCCATCTCTCAAGTGACACCTACGGTAGTCACATACACTGCCTCTGGAAGTGCACCGCCCCTTTCAGATATCACGTCAGTTTTTGCCAATTCTTCGGTACCCAATGGAGCGTGTACCGGGTGTATCATCGCAGGGTATGGTCCTATAACCACATCCTACGTACCGGGGGAGTTTTACAACCCATGGACTAGCACAGTGGTAACCGAGACCATCGTTACAGAGTATTCGACTTACATGTACAATGGTACTGTCGAGACTGTCGTTACAGAGAAGCGTACTGTCAACCAGACAAAGACTGTTACCGGAGCTAATGGCCAATTAATCACACGCGCGACACCGACGTTCACAGTACAACCAACACCAGGAGTAATTGTTCACCTCGACGCAGGTCCAACTTACGTTATATACAACCGGCTCTCTGGTGCATTGGATGATTACCATGAGATTTACTGGCCGGATAGCAATCTGACCCAAGGGTTTTGTTCGCCAACAGTCGAGCCCTTAACGAGTTGGCAGCCCGCAAGCACAAAAACCAAAGAATGGAGTTACTTCATTGCTACTTACACAGGGAAGGCTCCTGAAAGCACACCCTCGGGCGAACCTGTTCCACTCCCCTCTAAACTAATCGACCATCTAAAGCAAGTCCCAGCTATTCAAAGTCAATTCCGCGGCTCAGATATCGCTACTTGTAGCTTTAGTAGACCGCCCGAATCCTTCTTGCGTCCTAGACCTACAGGACTCATCCCCCCAGCCGCACCGCCTCCATCGCCATTTCCCATCTTCCTGTCACCTTTGACAGGGACATATATTGCGACCAGCTTTGAGTCCACGTCTGTTCACGTCACGGTTCGAGGTTGTTTAAGGTGTCAAGATACAGCAACAAAGGATGTCGCAGAGCCTACGATGTCAAACAAGATAGCAGATCCCACTCCCACAAACAAACCCGATCCTAATCAGCATAACAACGATGCTCCATCGCCTAGCCAACCTGACAGTATACCCGACGACACGGTCAAGCCGACTCAAGGTGGCGGGAAAACCTCACCGAGTATTCCAGACGTTGTGAACACGGTCAACCACGATAACCCTTCCGTTTGGACAAACGGAAATCCAGGAGCGACTACGACTAGAAGCGTGACGATTGGTGGAGTTGTCTTTCCAGTGAACACTCCCAAACCAACTCAGGCCGAGCCGGATGATCAGAACGGACAAAATCATAATCCAGTTCCTCCGATTATCGTAATTGGATCCGAAACGTTGACACAAGGGCAGACGAAGACTATTAACGGCGTGCCTGTGGTGGTACCCTCAGATGGTGGTGGAACACGAATCGTTGTAGACGGAAGTACGGTCCCTTTCAATCCGGCAACGACTCAAGGTCTGCCTGTTCTTACGGTGGGCGGAGGTGTTGTCACGCCAAATTCGCGAGGAGAGTACATACTTGGATCTGAGACACTGAAGCCAGGAGGCCCTGCCATCACCATCAACGGAAACACAGTCAGCATGGAGCCGAACGGTATGGCCATCGTCAATGGTGCTACGCAGACCATTGCGAATGTTCCTGTGGTAACTGGAGCGCCCGTTATTACAGTGGACGACCAAACCGTCTCAGCGACTGTCGTGGGAGGCTCAACGGTCTTTGTTGTAGCACCCGGTCAAACACTAAGCGCAGGAAGTACGCTCATCGTTGACGGCACGACCTACAGTATGCCTGAAAATGGACAAGGTTCGACCATCCTGATTAACGGGCAGACATCGGTGTTGGGGGCGGGACAATCTGTTGTGACTCTTGATGGAGGGAGATCCGTTACTGCGCAAGTTGTCAGCGGCACGACAGCCTATGTCATCGCTCCGGACCAGACTCTTACTCCAGGTGGCATCCTTACTATCTCCGGGACTACATACTCTATGCCCACGAGCGCATCTGGTACCGTCATCGTCGTCAACGGCGTTACGTCCACTCTGGCAGCACCCGGCTCTGGCATTACTGACGCTCCAGCCTTGACCATCAACGGTGTGACATACACACATACTGTTGCAGACGGAACAACGGAATACGTTCTGAACGACGGAACAACACTCGTACCTGGTTCGTCAATTGAGATTGACGGGACAACCTACTCTCTGGACTCACAGGGAACTGCCCTGATCATCAATGGACAAACCAGCACCATTCCTAAGCTACCGAAGAGCAATAGCGCCAGTACGACACGTTCGAGTTCAGCTTCTACGACGCGAAGCCGCGATGCCGGAGACTTGATTGCGAGCGGAATTGGAGAGACTAGTAAGGCACTAGGAGTATCTACGCACGTTGGTGGTTTGGATAAATGGATTGAGAGTTTGATCGTTGGCGCTGCGGGGTGGCTCACATTATTACTGTGAGCAACGGGATAAAAGTTTAAATGGGTTAATCACGACTTGATGCATGTAGCGCGGCGCTTGGTATTCGGACAACAATGGACACTGGGATATATAACGACTTGGAAATACGGGAAGGGACTACATTGCACACTGGGAGGATATACTTGGAACTGGAATTGGACAAAACGTTCGCATAGTGTTTTAATGCGTAATGCTTCTAATCTATGTACCTGATAATAAACCAATCCGAAAAGCATAATTGCAAGATCATCTAAAACCTGCTTCCCCGTCCAATGTGTTCCGCGATAGCGTACTCTTGTAAGACTTGTGCGCCTTGTTAGACGTCAAGATGTGCCCATACCTTGTCAGTCCGATCATAGCTCAACCACTCCCCTCCTACTTCGCCCGCTTCTTGAACAACTCCCAAGCCTCTGTCAAACCTTGTCTCATTTCATCCTGCTTTACCCGCTGCACGTCTCCGACATCGGCAACGGTACCCACTCTCTCATCGTATCCCTCACCCGAGAATAGGATGCGGAGATTCATCCAAGCCGGAACAGTCTTGATGTCTGTGCCCTTGACCTGCATCTTCTTGAAGAGCTCTTTCGCCACTTCTCCCTGGAGACGCTGAACATAACACTCCCACTTCTCCTCGACGCCCATCCTAGTCCAAGTCTTCCCAAAGCCCTTACTCGCCGAGTCCATCTCCAAAATCAGGTTGAGAGAAACAAGACCGCGGTAGTGGTTCTTCATGTCGTTGTAACCACCACTTAGCAGCCAATGGAGGTCATAGAAGGAGCGGATCTTGATGTTGAGCTGAGTAGCAAGACGCTGACATCCTGTAGGGAATAGCCTGACACTGTAGTCAGGCGGCGGGCAGAGCTCGTTTGTGGGCCTGACGACCTCAAATGCATTCTTGCCATATAGAACAGCTTTGGCTTCGGCGAAAACCTCCTTGCTGACACGGAGGATGTTGATGTTGGTGCGGCCGACAAGTGCAAAACGAGTCTTATGTTCGTCAACGTGGAGGTGGACGAGGGCGTAGGCAATACCAGGGAGAAACTCGCGGCGCTCGGTGTAGAGGAATGCTGTCTTTTCGTTGTGGAACGTAGTGCGTTTCTGACGAACACATATCAGACCCGGGACGACGAGGAGGTGCGCATAGATCTGGTTGCGGATGAACATAGGGAGGTCCATGAAGCGGAAAGGCTCAGTCATGGTGGTAGGTGCATCGATAGTGAAGGCTAAAGAGGCGAATGTGTTGTGCTTCTCGAGAGCTGTGGGTTTGGTCTTAGAGAAGCCTGTCGAAGTTGGAGACAGAGGGACGGTGTTGCTTGCTAGTGGAGTACTCTCGCCATCATCGCTACCATTGCTGGTCTCGGTATCAAAAGCTTCCTCGAGCTCTTCGAAAAAGGCATCAGGTGACTCCCCTTCGCTGACAGCGTTAGCGCGTGTTGCCTTGCTGTTGAAGTCTTCAGCATCGCTGAAGCGCACGCATTTCCTTGGACCGCCGGTGGAAGGTGGCGTAAGGGGATACGAGCATGGAGGTGTTTGCGGTCGCTCAAATGGAGTATCCATTCTGGCCATGGTTCTTTACTCTATGCGGAAAGGGTTGTCAGATAGTAGGAGAAGAGTAAGGTAGACTGAAGGCTAGTAAATACGCAGGAAAGAGGATATGTGAAGGTGAGGGAGGACTGCTGCTAGACTCGAAGTGGGGTATCTCCATACTCCTCGTGACGCAGTGTTCGCAATATACGCCCATGGTGAGGTGAAGGAGTGAGGACCAACGCTCTCCGAGAGAGCTTGGTGTTGTGCCGATAGGTGATGTACCTCGTGGACAGTGTACATCTTAGACACCACATGCCAAGACCCATCTACACGGTCACGACGAGGTTGTCGCTCGATCATCATGGTGTTCAGTAGTGGTGGGGCAAGGTCGTATATCATCACGAGCTTTGCCTGTCGTCCATCTCTTTTGCTACGTGAGCTTCCGCCACAATGTCATACCACAAACACTTTTCATGATAGAGGCCCTCCTATCAATCAATTACTTTCGGCTTTGCCAAGTTACGAAATTTTGCTTGAGATTGAGACGCCGACCAAGTTAAATGGTAGAGGAACTTTTGGAGTCGCGTGATATGGCTCAGAATCAGGATGTCACTCGAGTAATGAGTGATTGCATGCAGATGAAAATTCCTAAAGATTGGTGATGGAGTTGCAGTTGGGGTAGACAACTTGCGGCCCAATCGGTGCTAGCCCCAGCCAGTGCCGAGCCGGGCTCAGAAACCTCATCGCAGCATCCTCAACTGCACCCGCGCCCCGAAAGCTGCCCCATCCCGCAATCCATCTCCCCTCTACCGACCATGTCTGCAGCTCGTGCCTTCAGCACCGCTTTCCGGGCTGGTGCGCCCCGCGCCCCAATGGCCGCCCGCTACGCCGCAACCCGAAGCTACGCTGCCGCCGCTGCCCCAACTGGCTCTGCCAACAAGCCCCCGGTTGCCCTCTTCGGCGTTGACGGAACCTACGCGAGTGCTCTGGTACGCCTTCCACGACTTCAATTGGCACATTGGCGATGATACGCGGATGGAATGCGGGCCAATGGCTAGGCAAGAGCTTTGGCTAACAATTGTGGTAGTACACCGCGGCCGCGAAGACCAACGCCCTCGACCCCACCGCGAAGTCGCTCCAGGCTCTCCAGGGTGTTTTCCAAAAGGACGCCAAGCTCAGCCAGATCCTCCACGCTCCCTCGCTCTCCGTCTCCGACAAGCAGCAGATTGTCCAGGAGCTCCAGAAGCACATTGGCGGCGCCGACAAGGACGGCATCGTCAAGAACTTCCTCAGCACACTGGCCGAGAACAACCGATTGGGCGTACTACAGGGTGTTGTAGAGAAGTTTGGTGTGCTCATGGGCGCCCACCGCGGCGAGGTTGAGCTTACCGTTACCAGCGCTGCGGTACGTTGACTCTGAGATGGGATGGAACAACACAGTTGGAGGATTTAGGAACAAAGTTAGAACCACAACTGACATGACGCAGCCTCTCGACAACAAGACCATCTCCCGCCTCGAGAACGCCATCAAGAACTCGCAATACGTCCAGAACGGCCAGACCCTCAAGGTCGTTCCCAAGGTCAACCCCGAGATCCGCGGTGGACTCATCGTCGAGATCGCCGACCGCACCATCGACAAGTCTGTCGCCGCCAAGATGGCCAAGATGAACAAGCTCCTCAAGGATACTTTGTAAATATAGAGCGAGAGCGCATGGCGATGGACGTGAGGGGTAGGCATGTGTATTCTAGATGAGTCTTGGAAAAGAACAATTTACTACCGTCTACCACCTGGCGACGCGCCATGAACGACCGATGATTTGAGCGCTTGGATGTGTCAAGGATGATCTGGAACAGCTGATGAACTACAGAGACTATGAACTGATATCGCATTACTGTCCGTCTAACACTGCTAGCAATACGTATTTCACTGGCACGCCTGGATGGCAGCTAGTTGAAGATATATTCGAAATGCCCAAAATGCAATCAATGCCATCTACGCTCTCCACCTTGCATCCAGCCCAGTCATAGTCACGCCATGTGCCGTACCTGCACGGACCACCCGAGTCTCTGGTCTGTCCGGGGGTCTGACAGGCGTCCCGGGAGCAGATAGAGTTCGCGACGTAGGCGTCGAGGCGACTGGTGGTCGTTCCGTATGGCTGTCTACCAAGGGGTCGTATGGCTTATGAACTAGCCATTCGTCACTTGCTTCAGGCATTCCTGGGGCGACGTAATAGCCGACCTCGTAGGTTCTTGGTCTCAATTCGATCAATCCAAGAAGATGACCATCACATGGTAGTCCCACATCGGCTGTTGTAGGAGTTTCAGATAGGCGCGCAAGCCTTTTCCTCGCCAGGAAGAGTTCGTACTTTTCCACCAGCCATGCAAGGTGGGTATTAGTCTCCACAAGTTCGATGTCTAGGCATGTCGATGGAGACTCGTAATTCAGCCCAGTCTATGACAACGTTGGTAAGTTTCACAGCATTCGAGCAAGGAATACCGCTCAGGAATGTTCTTTCATCACATGGGAGGGGCCGTGGGCTACTTACAATTTGCAGGGGGAACCTGATAAGGGTGACAGGTGTTGCTTGGATCTCCCGGATATTAAGGTTTTGCTGGCAAGGCCATGCGGTTTCGATGTATGCTGACATTTTAATAGTTGAAGTGACGTTTAGTTGGCTGTTGGAGCGTTGGGTAAATCGTTATGAAGATTAGAGGGCTCAGGACTGCTGTTCATATACGAAATGAGTAGGGAATTTTCATTAGTTCCTGGCAGGACTATGGTTCTATAGAAATCGTAACTCTGGTCCTTCTTCTTCGCGAACATAGTCCCAATAGAAGGAAAGCGGGTCCCTGGATGCCTGGACTATGGTTCATCTTCACTATAGACGCACGGGCGCGTTACGTCTTTTGGGAGGTAGCGAAGCGCACACAGTCGAGTCTTTGAGTATGTGCACGATTTACGATTCGAGAGAATACCCTATATTGACATAAGAGTTCTATCACTTAGGTATGCTTCAGGGCCGAGCGGAAATGCTTCACAAAAACCACACAGAACATAGTCTACCAAGACAAGTCTAAAGAATCTGATTGTTAATATCAGGGGGCCTCAAATCGCCCCTGCTATGCATTGTAGCGCAAACTACCAAGATGTTTGAAGAAACTGGACACAAACTTCTTCACCTTCTGCACCCCAGTAGTCTTCTTCCTGTACCTTTTCCTCACAGCCATACTCACAGAACGTCCACGGCTAAACACCAAATCTCTCGCTTCGTTTTCAATCTGCGTCAAATCTCGAGCCTCAAGAGTAAGGCCACCTGTGCATACGACTTCTCCATTGACAAAATGCTCGGACAATGGGGTATCATACTCTTCACTTGCCGAAGTTTCCGACGAGGCGGAGGAGCTGGAGGAGGAGATGATACTGATACCATCTATGTCGGTGCAATATAGTTGAGGGTTCAGTCTCAACGACCCGACCACACTGTCGCTTCGTTGTGGCAATGAAGCCAGTGTGGAAGATTTTTGGCATTCATTATCCCAATGCCTGGCGAGAAGGGTATCGAGTTCCTCTTGTGAAGAAACGTGGATGTTGTCCATGTTGTCATTGGTGGCCTATTCATGTCTTGTTAGCTACATTCTTCTGCTTCTTCGAGTCTGGAACGGAAAGCAGAACTTACAACGTGGATTGGAAAATCAAGCCGACTTGCATCGAAGCCCGGTGCTAGAGTAGCGATATGCCACGTTTTCAGGAGATTTGAACGCCGGCGTTGGATTTGTGCAGGCATTTTAGTGTTGTTGGTGTAAGTGGCTTGGAAGGTGGGCGTAGTGGTGGTGAAGACGGTTGGAGACAGTGTAGAAGATTGGGATTGGATGACAATCTAATAGGGAGGTTGCTGCTGAACATATATAATGGTTTTTCTGTGACTCCTACGCGGCAGTATCGATTGCTGCTCGTTCATAGGCTTGAATATAGCGAGGCGGAAGGGACGAACCATGGTTTCGAGGCGGGAAGTGGATCATCTGACGATGCTTGCCACAACGTCGCTTTGGTGTACGAATTAGACGACCGACAATCAAAGGCAGACTTGAAGAGATTCATCATAGCCAGTATGGTCAGAGAAACAGGCATGGCGATGAGAAATTTGGTAGGTTCAAAGTTAGATTGTTCATTCAAGGATATAATGACTGGTAATAGTGACGACCCTCCAGTGGCCGTCCTAAACTTGCCAGTCATATTGCCTTCCGACACAAGGTCGGACGCTAACCTTTTCGTCAACTTCCGTCGCGGCGTCCTCGTCATCTTCGTAGACAGCGGCATCAGTAGCACTGAGTACGTCTACCTGGACAAAGATGGGCGCAAATACATCTACTTCCTCATCGTCCTCGTCCTCACAATCCCCATCCGTTCTACAACTCACGTACTCCTCAAATACGACACCCCGTTGTTTTTCCTCACGACCCAGACCATCGAAGATGTCGACTGGTTCAAGGCCGTCTTCCTCCAGGTGGTTCCCACACCGCCTCCATTTCACATGCATGACCAACTGGTCCAGCCCAACCTCATCCTTCACAACCACAGTGCTTTCTTTCGTGTCTTTTAATCCCGTCTAGCACTTGTGTTAGTAGGGTTCGTCGAGTTGAAAGCACATCCTACAGACATTCGCGATATTTTAAATGATCAGGTGATGCTGTAATTTACTATCAACCCGTTCGAAATGCATCTCAGCTGTCAGGTTGATATAGAGGATGTCGACTTACAACTCGTATGGGATATTGGGGGATGATATTGCAGGCTGGACTCCATCTCAATTCCACACCGTTGATATGGTACTGCGGCAAACCGGCCTTCATTTCCTGTTGTTGCTGAGTGTCAGAGTGTAGTGTCGAGTTATTTGTGTCGAGTTCTGTCGCGTCAGGTGCAGACTGAGGTGGGTTACTGGAATATTTCGAAGCCTCGTGCGGGAGTAGTCTCATTATCCCGCCCGTAGTGTTGTAGATAAGGATTGGTGACATCTTGTAGAAGATTAATGCGAGTATAGGTATCTAGCAGAGAATGCTGATGTATTGTATACACTAAAGAGTAAAAACTTGCCGGTTCCAAACCGTGGTTATAATTACTGCGAATGAGATCACAATTGCTCACACACGTCAACCTTCTAAACGAGTCCTAGGAGCTTTTCCGATTGGACCGCGAGATCAGAGTCATATGATAAGGATGATTCAAACGGTATGGAACCAAGGTTTTTGATAGCGTATGGTATTGCAAATCTCACTGCAATTTGCAGTAATTTCTGCCATGATTAACTTGCCAGCGACACAGACTTACCTCAACCGCCATGCCTAAGAACCCAGCAATGCATATACCTCCAGAATCACTCACACTGGTCGCACCCAGACTAAATTCCCTATCCTCTTTCGGAACGTTATCCGTAATCTCAGCAAAGGTACTGACATAGACCAACCCGCCTAACAGGCCTTCCCAGAATATAATAACGCAGACGATGTAGTAGCTTGGGATGAAATTGAACATGGCGTGCAGGGCGAGGATGATGAGATTGGCGACTTGAAGAAACGATGGGACGTATAGGTGGTGTATGCGTATGAAGGGTGTGGAGGAGCGCGAGATGAAAACACCGACCTGGTAGATGGCGTTGTACGTGCTGTAGAAAGAACGGTATTCGTCGAAGGGGGAGGATTCGAGGGGAAATAGCAGAGTGGGTGCAACGCCTTGGTTGATGGTGTACTCAGCAATGTAGACGAGGAGTAGAGGCAACATGCTGTGGCAGGTCAGCCTGGCGTATTCAGAGTGTGTACAATAGACTTACTACGGGAAGAACAATCCTCGCGCCCGGTTGAGGTTGGCCCGGAAGCTACTCAGTGCACTGTTAGCACCCTTATTATTGACGGAAATGAAGCTGCGCCCTGAAGCTGAATGCATGGAGGAAGTCAGCAGATCGTCTTGTTCATGCGCCTGGGCAACCTCGTCTTCCTCGTCGTCCCCTTGATTATCGATGGCTTCGTAACCGCCTTGTTTCGGAGCGCCAGCACGCAGCGGCCCAAGTGGGAGTATGACGAAGAAACTCAAGACCATGATTAGCGGCAGGAAAGAAAAGACAAGTAGACTTGTGCGAGGGGTAATGCCCAGCGTGTTGGTCGCGATGGCATACGCTCCAGCGCCGATTAGACCTGCGCCGCCAGTACCTGAGCCCCAAGAAGCCAGAGCAAAGTGACCATAGTAATGTGTTAGGCCAAGGAAGCTCAGTTCACCACCCCCACTGCTCAGACTGGCAAGCATCACTCCACACATCTTGATGGCAATGGTCCTCGAGTCCTGCAGCGGAGGGGTGAGGGCGATGATGAGCATGCCGCATGCCGAGAGAGCGACGAATATGAGGATGCGAACAGTGTATGGGATCTTGTGTATGAAGTATGGGGCGCATAGTTTTGTCAGGAACGAAGGGATAACATCGGCTAGAAGTACGGCGCCTTTGGGGACATTTGGACCAACGAGGTCGAGAGCAGCGGAGAGGATGATTACGTAGAGGACATTGTTGATGAGGCCTAGGGCTGTTAGCTGCCGTGGTGCTGCCCCTCATCGAGGGTTCAGGTGCATGCATACCGAACAACCAAAAGGCGGCGCATACGCGTGGATCAGCGCCGTGGAAGACAGCCTTCAAGCGCGCACGATAGACGGCCCAGGAAGAAGCGGGGGAGCCAGGCATGGGGAGGAGCGGCATAGGTTGCAGAGGTGGTGGCACTTCACATATCGCAGTTTTGAGGGTGAAGGCGACTGGCACGTGTTGTGTGCCTCAGATGACGAGGAGCAGTTCGGAACAGCTGCGTGTGGTGGTGTTGATGATGGCTGTGGCTGGACCGACCAGTGACATGGATGGGCGCACCTGCCGATCAGGGCTTGGCACCAGGCGGTCAAGGAACGATTCAGGAACGGGCTGCATGGACGACAAACGGGCGTCAGATGTTCCGAGTCGCATGGCATGCGCGTTCCTTTTTGTGCCTTGAGTGGCAACAGACTGGGCGAGACTGTCAGGCACTATCGACCAAGTATTGCCAGGGTTCTCTGGTATACGCATCATGATGGCTTTTTGTCGAGCAAACGTCTTGGGGTGGGTGCAAAGGCCTATCACACATGTCATACCTTCCTCTAGTCGGGCTGCGGGGCTGCGCTATATCCTACAGGGATGCTGGCGCTTGGTCCCATTGCGCCTTCTCGTTTCCTCGCATGCTCGAGGCTTCTTTCCTTCTGCAATACGGCAGCTCGCTTTGGAGCCGCTCCCTGTGACGACGACGACGACAACATCCCCCGTTGACCACTGTACGATCGACTCAGTCTACCTTGCGAGGTTCTGTTCGCGATCCTGACATCTTCCCTCGTCCTCACCACTCAGATGAGCCCAAGTCAACTATGGATCGCCCACCACCCTACCAACGTCCGCCAGACGGCCCTGTGAACTACCACCCGCAGACGACGCAAGCGTATCCAGGCTACCCGCCAGCCTCGCAACCGCAACAACAGCCGCCCCACGCTGCCTACACCGTCGACCCGTACTCGATGCCCCGTCGCGACCCATTCCTCCCGTCAGGACCACAACATGCACGAGGCAGTAGTCAAGGACGGTCCGCTGGCAACAACGCGCCGCAAGGCCAGGCTGAGGGGCAAGGACAGGGTAGTTGGTCAAATACAGGTAGGTCTACATCTTTGCCCATGTCTTCAAGAGCACATCTGCGCAGTGCACAGGCCGGGGACAAAGCATCAGTAGTGTAGTCTGGACTCGTTTGCGCATTTTTGTAGCTCTTACCAGTCACAAAGGTGCTCAAGTCACCCAGGCTGCATTTTGACCTGAGTGTCTCAGTCCCTGTGGCACCGCTCGCGTGGCTGTCTGGGTGGTGGAAAGACAGGCAAGAGACGGTAGTGGGAAGACGTTGGCTGCATTGACGTGCGGCATGACACGTCAATTGCGAAAAAGCACTTCACCGCCCCTCTCGTCATATGAATGCAAGCAAATGCAGGCAGTGTTTCCCTACTAGTGTCGCCATAGCATCCCGAGCCACACCAACCGAGCATTTGGGTTGCAGAACGGTGCGCGCATTTGTCGGTGGAGTTGGCATGGGTCTGGCGAATTCTATGGCGCACTCCGCAGATGTGGCTCCTAGCTAATGCACGATCCGCGGGCCTCTAAACCTCTTTCGAAAAGTCGCGACTCAATGTCCGAGCTTGTGCTGATCCATGTCTTTAGCGCGACCGATACACTACGAGACTCATCGCTCTCAGACGAACCCTCCACCGCAAATGACGGCCTCCAACAATCCTCAACCGCCTGCGCCCTATAGCTTCGATGCTGCGCGCAACTCTTCGCTGAACGGCGCCAGTCCCCCGGCCTCTTATGGTACAGCCCCGCTCCCAAAAGCAATGGTTCAAGCTTTGTCCCAGACTAACTCTCCCTCCAGGCCCGTCTCACGACCCTCCACCTCCACCATCCTTCGCGCGACCCCAAATGCCTCCCCCATCCTCTCCCACGCAGCAGCATCTTCATGCATCCCAGTCGCAGCGTCCACAGTACACCTCCAACTTTGGCGCCAACAGAGAGCTTCCTGGCTTAGGGCAGGCGTTGCGACCAGGAAGCAGCATGTCCATCTCCTCTCTCATCGGCGGCGGGGGTGACACAGGGGCCCTTAATCAAACAACACAACCACAGCCCTCACCTCCCACCAACGCCTCATCCGCCAACGGTCACAGCATGCAGCCACCTTCGCCCCGGCGTGCCTTGCCAGCTGGCGCACGATCAGATTTCCCCCCGTTCCGTCGCCAGTCCACTCCAGAGCGCAGCATGTACGCTAGCAATACTTCGCGCTCATCCGAAGGACACGCCTTTTCGGCTGGCTCACCCAGACAGTCCTACAGCAACCAAGGTTCGCCTGCCCCAGGCCGCCAGTCGCTACCGCCAAATGCGCAATCCTACAAGCCGTTGAATTTCCCTGGCCATCGTCCATATGCGCACGATGCAGGGCGCCAGCCGTCTGGAAACGTCCCATCTCGACCGAACAGCCAGCCCATGGGTCCCCAAGGAAACACTGAACAAGAGGGGAGGTCCATGTACGATGGATTTGCAGGTCGGCGCAGCGCTTTTGGACCACCTGAGGAGCGACGACGCACACTGGGCGAGTCGCATCACGCAAGGCCCAACGCTGCAGAGCTCCTAGCGGGCACAAATCACAGCGCGTCCGAGAGAGATCGGCCTGTGACTGTGCACCCTGTGTCGCAATCTGGCTTCAGTCCCCCTCAACCACAACGCAATATCTCTGGCTCATCAGAACCTCCGCGCAGTCTTTGGCGTCAATCAGCGTCTACCGGTGCTGCTCGCGAGCTTCCCCAGGATAGTCGCGCAGAGGAGCCTCCACCGATGCATCGCACTTACGGCCCATACCCTCCGCACATGCTAGGTGGTCCTCGCTATGGCCCACCAAGCTCCGAGGAAATGCTGCGACGCAGTGTAGACCAGCTGGGCCACCGCGTTGTGGAGCAGTATCACGCTCCTCCTACCTCCGATCCCAACTCTGAGCGACATAGGACTGAGCCACTCGCGCGCTCTTTGTCATCCCGATCCCTATACGACCAGCCTCCCAAGATGGGTGAAGCCATGCAACACTCCAAATCACACATTGGCTTTGGCTTGGAAGCAAGCAGACGGACTGGCAGAGCGTCCCCACTACCACAAGCTGTTCAAGGTGCCCAGGCGCAGCCCTTGTCAATTGGCAAAGATCCTGGTATCAAAAGCGAATTCGGACGCATGTTCTCCGGCCTCGGCAGTGGCTTGGGATCGTCGACTCCGTCGCGGGGAAGTCCCATGCCACAAAACGGTCAGGGCTCATTTGAGTCGGACAACGGCGAAATGATGAGAAGGATCGGCTCTCAGCAAGGCAGAAAGCCGCCGAAACGAGTCAAGGACGAGGAAGGCATTTTCGACATGGAGAACGCTGACGGCAGAGGAACACCTGGCGCTCGTGGGGCTAAGCGGAACAAACACCACCATCATCAGTGAGTCTACTCAGCCTCTATCGAGGTATTTACTAACAGCATAGTCATCACCATCATCACCACCACAAGCCTGACGAGGACGCGTCCATGCCACCAGCCTCAACTTCGATTAACGGGCGACAAGCGAGCTTGCCACAAGCCGGCCCAGGCCAGTCGGTTCATCACCACCATCATATTGGAGCAAATCCACATCACCATCACCACCACCACGCCCCCCGAGTTGCCCACCAGCCGCCGCAACAAGTCACGAAGGTCCTCACTAAGGTCCACGACGTGCAACCTATTCTTGAGGAAGCTGCTAAGCGTCCTCGTAAGCATCTTGGATCGCAATTGTACGAAGCAAAGACAGAACTGCCAAAACCCAACTCGTCGCTAGACGATCAATTCGGATATGCCTCGAAACCCCAACGTTTGCCTCGCTTCGATGTCAACCCCATCAACTGCACTTTTACCATCAGGGTACCTCGATACTACCTAAAACCACGACAACGCCAGCATGTTGTGTTGGAGAGACATCTTTGGGGTGCGCGTGTGTATCGCGACGATTCAGACCCTATTGCTGCAGCGATCCATTCTGGGTGGATACGTGGCGAATGGGATGATACCGTTGATGTTGCTATGCTCGACCCACGCATCACCGCGCCCAACGACCCAACCGATGCTGCTGACGTTCTGATCAAGACCCCGGCCGCTCCTGTCACGCCGCCTGCCGACATGGACCTGCAGATTGAGATACTCATCCTTCCGCAACTCCAAGAATACACCGGGTCCGTCGAGTATGGCATTTCGAGCAGGAAGAGCAAAGCTCACGAAGGTCTCAGCTTTATGATCAACAAGATCCGATGGGTTGAAGAAGGCATTGGTAGCAGGGGACAGGAAAGGACAGCAGCAGCATTAAAACGACGGCTCGATGCTAGTGCGACTCTCCTTGCTTTGCAGAGTGGAATCGACGACGCTCACCGGGTCAACGGAATGGCCAAACTACATGCTTGATATTTAGCTGGCCTCATCAGAGTCCATGACACATAACGGCCGTCTGGAGATTGATTTCGCATCGCATTTTGTAGCGCAAGATGATTTTAGCATTGCTAGATACCCGCATCTTTATAGCTTGGACTATGGCGTAGGATTGCACATAGCGTAGGCGAAGTTTTGGTATAAGTATATGAAAGACGATATAATGAGCACTGTTGAATCCGTTGGGAAAAAATACAAGTCTTTAATATTGGTAATGGCCACACCTTTGTTATCAGGTTACCTACACGTGGGGAGAATAGTGGTAGCCATGTGAGATAACCAATCCCGCGGCGATCACACACTGCAGTACCAGAGCGATAGCGGTCTGGACGTACCCCAGGCTTGCGTGTACACATCTAGCAGCTTCGAGGAATAATCTACTCCGTTTTCGAGATGTGCATTTGATCCTCCTACCTTCAACACCCAAGCGACAGGTTGCTAGACATACAATACTTTGCCAGCCCACTGCCCCGCCACAACGACAGCTTGCGTGACGCCATCATCACAACGCGTACTGATGTCAAAAATGGGTCACACTCGGACCTACTCGATATCAACTGTAAGTTATCTTTTTTCTTGCGAAGATCTCCAGGGTGCACCATTGTTTTTCGCCGATTTACGACGACTGGCGTGCGACTACTACAACGTAAAGAAATTTCGCACCCATCCATCACGTCTTTCCGGCTTTCGGCGGCTTTAGTATGTATGGCATGGTTCTGGACTACCCCTAGCTATGCTGCTGGAGCCGTTGTCGTCATACCGCAGAAGCATGTGGCATCATGGCACACGACCGGAGAATTCGTAGCAACACGGCGACTGCTTGAAACTGGCCTGATGACGCCCATTGCTGGAGGCCGAGCCCCAAGGAACACGAATTGGTAGGCGCCAGCGACGACTGTTGTTGCACTGTCACGACTGCCGGTCAAGTGGACACAATCAACTGCAGCCAGAGCATCTGCTATCGAATGAGAATCACCCGTTACATCTGCTCCACCGTGCCCGCTAGCCTGGAGCCGCAATCCGAACGCTTGCTTTCTGGCTTGTGAAAAGAAGGACGCCGTACCGAATGCGGGGGAATCAACGTCAATCAATCCATCTCCTCTCGCTTCTTGACTGCCGGGCCGATCTCACGACTCTGCAACACGACATTCGACGTCCATACACTTATTGCTTCACCTAACAGACGATTCCAGCTCTGCGACTCCTGTGGCTTCTGTTGACCGCTTAGCATCTGTCCTTGCTGCATCCTTGATTAAAAGCCGCATTCTATCGCTGCATATCGGAATACCTTCGGCTAGATTTCCGATCTCATAACTTTTCTCAACTTCTTGTACATTCGCGTCGCCGTTACTGGATTTCAGGGAGCTGGACTCGCGGCACACAATGACAGACTCCAATGGAATTTATGCGCCAAATATGCGCGCAGTGCCTGCTGGCGAGTTCGTAAGACCAAGCAGAAAGACTAACGGTGCTGGTGTACAGGCCGAAGACACGCGGATATGCGTCGTCATGGTGGGCTTGCCTGCGCGGGGCAAGAGTCTGATCGCACAGAAAGGTAAGCTTCTCCTACAGAATCCTCTGCAACTGCTAATCCTTTGTCACGCAGTCGTTCGTTACCTACATTGGTTATCGATCAAATCAAAGACGTTCAACGTTGGACAGTATCGCCGTACTGCAACCCCTAACCCCTCCGCCGAGTTCTTCGACACCTCCAACCCCGAAGGAGAGCGCCTCCGAAAAGCAGCCGCCGAAGCAGCCGTCAATGACATGTGCAAGTGGTTTTCCGAGGGCAGGGGCTTGATCGCAATACTAGACGCCACAAACTCGACCAAGAGCCGTCGCAGGTGGATCCAAGAACGATGTGCTGCGGAGAACATCGAGACGTTGTTCGTTGAGTCAAAATGTGACGACGAGGATCTCATTATGAGCAACATACTGGAAGTAAAGACGACTTCTCCAGACTATGTTGGCCAGGACCCCGAGGAAGCTGCAGCAGATTTCCGCAATCGTATTCGCAACTACGAGAAGGTGTACCAGACAATAGACGAAGACGAGCGCGACCTTACATATGTCAAGCTTATCGACGTGGGTAAGCAGGTCATCATCAACCAGATCCAGGACTATCTCCAGAGTAGAGTGGTGTACTACTTGATGAACCTCCACATCAAGCCGCGTTCGATCTGGTTATCGCGAGTAAGTAATCTTTGCGAGACTACGCTATGAAAGCTAATCGTAGTAGCACGGTGAATCCGAGTACAACCTCACAGGACAAATCGGTGGAGATGCCAACCTCTCAGAGCGAGGCGACGCCTACGCGCATGCGCTTCCCGGCCTGGTTGCGAAATCTGTTGGCGACGGCCGCAAACTTACTGTCTGGACCTCAACCTTGAAGCGAACGATTCAAACCGCACGATTCCTTACATTCGAGAAGTTGGAATGGAAAGCGCTCGACGAACTCGACTCCGGTGTCTGCGATGGCCTTACATACGCTCAAATCGAGCAAAAATTCCCCGAAGACTTCAAGCAACGCGATGAGGACAAGTACAACTACCGCTACTTGGGTGGAGAGTCATATCGCGACGTTGTTATCCGCCTCGAGCCCATCATCATGGAGCTAGAGCGCAGCGAGAACATTTTGATCGTCACACACCAGGCCATTCTCAGGTGTATCTATGCATACTTCATGAACGTACCGCAGGAGCAGAGCCCATGGATGGAAGTCCCACTACACACGTTGATCAAGTTGACGCCCAAGGCGTACTCTACACAAGAAGAGAGACTGAAAGCCGATATCCCGGCAGTCAGCACCTGGCGAGGTAAGGGCAGCAAGGCTGAGCATCAGCCTGCAAATGGCAGCACATAGGCCTAACTCCATCCAGCTCCCGGGGAAATATGCTCGGCGCCGCTTCCCTTGGGAGCGGATGTGGGAAGAATCCTTACGAACTAGCATCGACACTATAGACGGACAAAGAAGGTTATGTGGGGTTTGCGTTTTGATCGACTCAAGGTTAATCTCTCGGCGTGTGTGTGTTAAGCATTTGGCATAGATTGGCATTTCAGCGTTTTGGTCACATCACTAGACGGCAATATCCTAAGGTCGACGGTCAAAGGGAGGAGGTGTCGACGTTTCAAGGCATGACAGTAGCTACCAGATATCAATGTCAAAGGACATCCTGATATTGAGTCTTTTATTCAGCGATGCATATGCTCTGACTTTTCAATTAGCTACGATGCAAGTAGTAGGTGAAGTATCAATAAACAAGCATATGTGACAGGTCTTGGAACGCTCAATCGTAGTGTCTTGTTGCTGCCACCTTCCCATCTAAGCCTTCCCCGCGGACATTGACCATCAACATCGAGACCCCACTCAGCTTCCAAGCTCCCTCCACATCCATACCCAACGCGCTCCAACAACATCCCGCAACACAGACACTGAGTTTGTCGCCAAAATCTCCCAGCAATGCAACAATGACATGGCAGCCCCCAACCTCGGCCAACGCAAACTTCCTTAGCCAACACGACACCGAACAACAACAATACGAACAACTCACAAGCAACATGACCAGTTCATCATCTGCAATCCCTGGTGGCCACGCACCCACTACTAGCGGTGGTATACCTGGAGAATATGGATTCAATACTCCACACAGTGCACATCAAGGACCGAATACACCTACACCCCAACACCTAGCCGGTAGTTCCAGCGCTGGCCCCAGCAACGATGCCAGCGCGGGGTGGTTCGACGCGTCGAGAGTATATCAGCAATCGCCACAGGGACAAGGATCGGGGCACAAACAAGCAGGAGGAGGATTAGGAGGAAGCGGCAGTGGTAGTGGTATAACTCCCAGCAAATCCATGCTGGAAACAAGAAGGAGTCTACAAGCGCGAGGCAAGAACTACCATTTTGGCGCAGCGGGACCGCAGGGGAAGGATTGGGAGGAGAGGCAGAGAAAGGATGAGGCGATTAGTATATTGGAGAGTGAGGAGATGCTTATGTGGATTGCGGGGGTGAGGAATGAGGTATGGCGATCTCTCTGTCCTCTCTTATATTTGTATTGTGGTGGATCTATGCTAACTCTTGATTCATGAGACAGAGCATACCGCAAACGCGCGCGCACTATCGGAACGTCGTCCTTGGCCTTACAAAATGGGAGAAAGATGCTGTAGCTTGGCGTGATGAGTGGGAGGTCCAAGGCTCGGGAGGTGGATCCGCAGAAGGGCAGAGTGTGGCAGGTGGAAGTCCGGCGAGAAGTGCGAAGGGCAAGGAGAGGGATATCGCCAAGATGAGAAAGAGGGTTAGTTCTGGACAAGGGCACGGTTGAAGTGGGGGTAATTCAAGGTAGATGTGGATTGATTACGGCGTTGGATATTGTGGTTTTGGCATTTATTAGTTCATGGGAAAGGACAGAGCACGGTTAGCTTTATACCCCTTGGCATTTTCCATATCAAGCATTCAATGAGGTTTTGTAGGCAAGACGAACAACGTTACTATTTCGCGTAACTATCTTTCCGTCTCATTCTCATGTGTTTTGAGATCATAACATGGCATTCGCCAAACGCCGTATCGTATCATCATGCCTGGCTCAAAGCATGATACCTTTCAAGGTCACAGGCACTCGAATCCGCGAGTGCCTCCAGCCACTTGTCTGAATAATTGTTTCAAGTCCAACATCTTACCCCTCACATGCCTTCTTCCATACCTACATTCCTCCACCAAGGCTTCTCCCCATCGCTACTCGCCTTATCGGCAAACATATCCGCCGCATCGCCCACCTGTCTCCTCTCGCTAATTTCCCTACTCACCTGACCAGACAACTTCAACTTCATCGCCTTGCTGGCCAGGAAAGGGTTGTACTTTCGCGAACCGTTACCTTGTGCCATTCCTCGGGATGACCGGATGAGTTCGCTCGACGTCCATCCGCCCCTCATGACGGGTAATTGCTATTGCAGAGGTTCTGATGACGAGGAGAGGCGGTTGAGGTGGAGGTAGACGTCGGTGCCATATCTAGGTATGAAGTGTTAGTGAATGCGCTATGTTAGGAGTGGGTTCTTGCTTACCCTTCCATGGAAATCAACTTCAAATCTCCTCCAAAGTAGCGTGCGTATAGCCTCGATATGGGTAATCCGTAACCGAATCCAGCCATGGGAGCTTTGAAGTCGCTCTTGTTGAAGTCAGGGTCCAGGCTCGGCGTTTGGTCGACAGTCGTATACATGTACGTCCATACTAGTGGAATGGAGGATCTAGGGATGCCGCCTCCTTCGTCCGAAATCTTGATGGTGATATCTTCCTTGCCCTCTGCAACGATGACCTTGGTCACAGGGAACTCTTGCTTATCTTCACCATGTCTCTCCACCACAGCACGAAGCGAGTTCTTGAGGGTCTCGAAGAGCATATGTGACAAATGTCCAGGCACGTACATGAAGCTGATGTCCGGATTGCATACGAGCTGGACCTTTGGTGCGTCAAAGAGTCCGTAGTGATCCTCGCAAACGAAGCGCGCATTCTCAATAGCTTCCTGGGCGAGTTCTTTGACATTGGTCTTTGTGCAAATTATTCCGACGTAGTTGGGATCGGTCCGCGAGCGTTGGTCTGTCAGGGCGATGTGCTGGCCGATGAGCATACGAATACCGATACGCGACATATAGAAACGGTCGAGGAAAGCTTGGATATTGTGGTCGATCTGCATCCTTTGTCGCTTGCGTTTCCACTCAAGGATGCCCTGCGCAACGGTGGTCACGACGCTGTCATGCCGCCTCTTGATCTTCTCCAATGTGTCTGCGAACTTTGTGTTGTATGCGCCCAGCTCTGGTGGCCAGTCTTGTCCGTCGTCAGCCGCAGCATAGTATCTTCGGCTTGCGCCCTTGACTTCCTTTGTGATGCCACCGCCGTTTCCGTTCGAGTTTCCATTTCCGTTGCCATTCGTCGTCGGCGCGGATCGGTATTGTCCAGTCTTGATGCTAGGGTTCTGGGTCGGCTTGCTCATCAAGTTCTTGTCGCCGCTCTTCTTGGCTGGTTTTAGTAGTCGCTCTTTGATCTCGCTCGAGAGGGTCGGCCGGGGTAGTTCGACGAGTTCCTGTTGAATGAGTCAACGCGCTCCAGCGAGAACCTCAGCAATACACACTTCAAACGACTGCGCATACCAATCGCGCACTCTTTGTATAGACGGCATCTCATTGAGGCCATCTGGAAGTTCATTGAGTTCTTGCACTCGGTGTGCTAACCGTATGGGCAGTTCCTCGGAGAGGAATTGTGACGCGCGGAAGAGGGTTCCCGTAGATGGCTTCTCTCCAAATTGGACCATTTGACGTAGAGATACACCTGATAGGACATTAGATGGCTGCTAGGAATGACTATGGGTCCTACATGCCCGTTGCTGGAAAGTTGCTATAGTGCTATCCAAATGTTAGCGACAACTCAGGCTATGCGACAGACTCGCCTACTTTGATGGTATCCATCAACCTCTCGCTCCGTTTCCACGACATGATGCCAATTGTCGAGGCCGTAACGGCCTTTGTCGCTGCGTCTTCGCCAAAGTGGTGTTGGTGGTGGTGTTCACTGTCGAGCTACCGAAGCCCAGCTCCGCCCCACTATGACGCTAATTGGTCGTGATGGCACAGGCCGAGGTAACGACGCGTTTGTATGCTCGGAAGCGGGTTGAGAAAGTGAAGGATGGAGTGGAAGAGAGACACATGTGCTCGTGTGCCCGGTGACACAGACTAGATGGTTGATGTACACGGAGTCTTCCGGCGATGACACCACTGCGACGAGCACCTGCGCTTCCCCCACACTTGAACTGCTTTCACGTGGAGAAGATGGGCAAAAGGCGCCACGAAACCTCGCGCTTAAATCACTGGTATCCCGCACTTGACGAGACCGAGTGTGTCAATCTTTGGCTCATCTTTGTTTTTACCGCCCACGTTGTCCTGCCCTGACTGGAACTGTTGTCATTGCAAATGCTCTTCCGCAAGCATCCCAAAGCTCCAGCCACACTACCCTCGGCTAGCTCTCGGAGAAAGCACCGGCAGAGCGCATGTTCCCAGTTCCTGGCTGCATGTTCCTCAGGCCCGAGCAGTGAGCATGTTCGGTGCTCGCGTGAGTCGCACCCTTGTGGCTAGTCCTGAGCTATCGTTGTTAGTCTGTACATTTTGTGGAAATATCGCGCAACGTGTCAGAAAATTTGCCATGTATGCCATTGGCTCAGTCTATGGAGGTTTGTAGGCGTGCAATTGATGGTTCCACCAATTCTGCATCTTTGGAAGACGACATTAAGTTGTTCAAGACTACAGGCACTGCAACCTATTCACAAGATCATATTGAAGCTTAGGTATGGTCGGTAGAGGAGATTTGGTATTTCGAAAGTGCCACTAAGTTCCAAACTGGCTCTATGCTGCACCAAAGTCGAAAGACGCCCTGAAATGATACACCCAACATAATCTACATGGAGGAGTAATGCGCTCTACTGCGCTTACCGCCTCCGTCGTTCGTCTATCATCGATGATGGTACAATCCAAACAGATTTTGGGTCGAAAAGGTATTAGAGAAAGGTCATGGCGTGTCGAGAGGATGGAATAAACGTTCGTATGACGAGAGACGCTTATTTGGTCTCCTCAGCGAGGAAGGTGATCAAGTCGTTACGGTCCTTGGGCTTCTTGAGACCACCGAAAGCCATCTTGGTTCCGGGAATGTACTTCTTGGGGTTCTCGAGGTACTCGAACTGTGATGTGTTAGCCGATGAATCTGCCAGACGTGTATTTGTGTGGCGAGACGTACGAGAGTGTCGTTGTTCCACTCGATGCCCTTCTGCTTGTTGGCGTCGGTGTATGAGAAACCCTCGACCTGACCGGTCTTACGGCCGAAGAGACCGTGTAGGTTGGGGCCGATCTTGTTGCCCTCACCCTCCTTCAGGGTGTGGCACTGAGCGCAACGGGTCTTGAAGAGGTTGGCACCCTTCTTAGAATCGCCTGTAGAAGATGTTAGCCATGTGCTGTGGACGATTTTTCTTTTACAGCCGAACAATCCGCCACCGTCACCCCTTTGTCGCAAAGCTGCCACCTTGTGCACACCGCTTCTTGAGCGGCACACTACCCAGCCAGTAGGCCACAGATAGTCTGCTGCTCATGAGGTTCGCATCTCGTTGTGCGCGCGGGCTCAATGGCTGGTGGACGCTCGTGGACAAAGTGGAAAACGGCCGATGACGTCCGACAGGTGTCAAGAAAACGTACCCTTCTCGAAACCCATTTTGAAGATGTGAGGTTGGTTTTGGTAAGATTAAGTGTTGGTGAGGTGAAGTGGTAAGAGGTAGTGTGGTCGTGGTCGTAGTTGAGAGTCTGCTTGGGAGAAAAACTGGCGAGGTAGGAATTGAGAGACTTGTGAGAGTTTTAAGAATCCTGCCGTTAGCCGCGATGAAATGACGGGCCTTGACGCGAGCACGGGTCACGGGATTAGCCAATCAGATGACCACTATAAGTCAGTAGCAAATGTGCTCGGGTGGAACCGGTCCGGGATGGCAAACGGGAATCGCGATGGAATGGCGGTGCAGACGCCGAATCTGGTCTCTGTTCCTCAGCCAACTTGCCGTTAGTACTTTCACGCCACGCCGCCCACCGCGACTCCCTAAACTTTTTTGCTACTAACTCGGCAATCTCGCGTGGAGCTTGTAAGGTGATGCCGTCACCAATCTAAGAGATGTTGCGCTGGCTGCTATGGGCAAATTCAGCATTCTCCGTAGCGCCAACCATGGGAAAAGAAATCATCTTTCTTTTCTCCGGTGGTTGAAATAGAAGCGTCTGGACTATCTGGCCGCCCTGCAGGATGCTTCGTCCCCGTCCCTGCTTTTGGCACCAAATACGATATGTGAAGCCTGTACAAGGGTCCGCAAATCGATGTGACATCCACTAACCCGCGCACCTCCACGCTTCTGGTCCCCTAACATAACGGGCCAGGGTCATGAGTATTGTCCTCTGTTATCTGGACAGCAGCACATTACTATTTCAAGTGCCGACCAGGATCGTCACTATTCCACCCTCGTCACAAGCAGCCTTCTAGTGTTGGTCAGTCACACTTCAGCCCCAGCTGAACGGTTGACATCATCGTTTGCCCCGCCACACCTCGACAGACCGGATGGACCAGATTCCGGGCATTCTATATGCCGATGAGGACTTTACCACATGGCTAATACTCGGTGCCAGCAGAGGCATAGGGCTAGAGTTCGTCAGACAGCTGTTAAATAAGAACGAGCGCATCATCGCTACTGTACGAGAGCCTTGGGCTGGTCATGCCAGTGGCTTGTGGGGACAAGCGGGGAGCGATCATGGCCGATGCCAAATGTATACATGTGACATTCTGTCAGAGCAGAGCATCGAGGTATGCGTGTCTACTAAATGCTACAGTACCATCTGAGATGAACCAAAACTGATCATGTACAGAAATTCGTTGCGCAGTTGGCAATGATACCGAACCTAAAGATAGACTATGTCGTGCTAAACGCAGGTGTTTTAAGGTACCCGAATGTAAGTCCCGACATCGTCGACAGCATGCAAGGGAGCCGCACTAACCGATGTAGAGGGCCACTGAGCTGTATGTTCTCCATTACCCAACCCGTTGCGCCTTGCTGGTTCTGGCTAAAGCGTGCATTTCCAATAAACTTCAATTGCTCTCAGGCACTTGTAGTATCGAAGGTTAACATCTGGCAGATCGTTCGACGAGTTCGCTTTCCATCTCCACACTAACACAATCGGGCCTATCATCACAGCCCAGAAGCTACTACAAACGAACATTCCTATCGGCACCATCACATTCATGTCCAGTGATTCGGGCTCCCAAGGTAACTTCCGCGAAATGGAAGATGGCTTCGCTGCATATGCTGCCTCTAAAGCTGCACTCAACATGGCGGTCAGACACATGGCTGCTGAGTTGAAGAGGAAAGACGATGACACCATCATCCTATGCATGCACCCAGGGGAAGTTGCAACAGACATGGCGAACGTCCAACTGCCATGGGAAGTCCAAGGCATAATCACGCCAGAGGAGTCGGTCATGAAGATGATCGAAGTCATCAAAAGCAAAGGCATACAGCACAGTGGTACTTTCTGGACTTATGAGAACAAGGTCAGTACATTAAATCCTCACTCCTGGATCGTTGACTAATTTCGGGTTAGCCATATGTCTGGTGACAACTGGTGACGCTCATGGTGGTTATGCCTCTCATCTCATATTCTCGCATACTCTTCACAAAATCTCCGCTAGGCAGTACCTATACCCATCTAATAGAATGCATATACACCAGTGTTTCATCAGCTATGAATTTTGCATTCTATATGAACATTCAAGGACTTAAGTCCGATATGACAGATGATCACCAGTCGTGTTCGCAAACACTTCCCTATGCCTGTCACCCTAATCCGATTCTAAGCCCTGTATGCTCCACCCTCGATCTCGCCAGCCATTCTACGGACTTCGTCTGTATCCCAATCCAACCGCTCAGCACCAGTGGGTAAGAGATATTCGACCAAGATCCGTACCGGCGTGTTCACCTTCGCCTCCTCCTTCACGGCCGCCTTCTCCTGTGCTCGTGGGCTCATCTTTGCGATATCTTGTTTGTGTCCAGGATGCTTTGCAATCAAGACTTTGCTATTCGTGTACGTTGAGAGCTTCGATCTCGCAGGACCTACCTCGCCATCTTGACGGAAGACATTATGCCCTCGCTTTCGTCGCTTTCGCTGATGCAAGTCGCCGTCATCCTCAAGCTCGCTGTCAACGACAATAGTATCGGGAGGGAGCTTTGTGCTTGGTGTAGACAAGTCCTTGACGTTGGGTAGTGGATTAGCTTTAGAGCGCCTCCAAAACGAAGGGCAGCCACAAACGCCATCTTGCTTTTTATTCTGAGGACACTTGCGTTTTCCCATTGTGATAACGGCTGGTGCTGATACGTCTTGGGTTGCGAAAGTAATTAGTGCATGGGAGTCTTCCTGTTGTTGCAGTCGCGCGAACAACAGTTAGGAATAGCGATATGAGGACGTCAAATTTATAGTTGAGAAAGAATAGGTAAATTATAACTGTTGTTGGTGGTGAGGTATGCGGCAAGTAAGAGGTGCCTTCACCTACGCACATCTAACAAAATCCCCGAGACTAAGTACGAAGTGTTTAGAATACACGACGCCTACCGATATGCAACGTATCTACATGAAAGCTACCACAACCTCCCAATAACACTCGCTGCAACCTTGACCGCAACCAACGTCCCGACAGCCAACACCCCCACTCCGATCCCGAGCGCCTTCAAGTTCCTCAACTCATTACTGAGAGACACCTTCTTCCTCTCTCCGATATTACCCAGATGTGTCAAGGTATCATATTGTGGCACATACTTGAAATCAAATGATGTTTCCATGCCTGCCAATCCCCACTTCGCCTTCACTATCAACTGCCAGAAGATGTCCTTTGCGCGATCTATTCGTCTACGATCCGCATCGGGGAATAAACGATATGTGTAGCAATAGAAGATGAAAAAGAGACATTGGCCCGCCATGAGCGACCAGTAGTAAGCGGAAACGCGCTTTAAGCCGAGGCGGTCGCAGAGCGCGTTACCATTCAACCAGCGTGCACTGGCAGTCAACATGTCTGCCGAGGAGAAAGTTGGAGGCTCTTCTTTGAGGGCGTAGATGATATTGTTTGCCATTGTTTTGGACATTTCTGAGGGGTCGACTTCGTGGTAGAGGAGTGACTCCATGATAGCCTTTGCCTTTGCTGGGGTCGACAGCCATTCATCGGGTGTGCCCATCAAGTACCCGATGTAGCGCCATAGGGCTAGGTAGTCGTCAATCTCTTGCTTCCTAAGGAATATGCCTTGGCGAGGGAAACTGAGGTAGATGAGTGTAGAGGAGAAGGTGCCGATCGTTGCTATTTGATCCAGATCATTAATCGGTATCCCCCATTCTTCGACGTCGAAATAACTGGGTCGCTCCTTAGCGAGCTTCATGATGCGTTGTCGGACTGCGGCGTGTAGGAAGCGGACGCGTATCGACGAGGCGAATCCCTCCCCGCCTGGTTTGAGTCCGTCTAGTGTTCGTGTGCATTGGAGGATATGCTGTGTGGTTTCGAAGAGTCTGCCTCTTGCAACCTTTGTGCTAAAGCCTCCAGTTCGTGCTAATGTCTCGACCACTCGCGCGGCGCCCATTCCTCCTAGTAGCGATTGGAAAGTAAGACCAGTCAGGGCAGGCCCACCGTAGCGGTAGAACACATCTTGCCCTCTTGCGATCTGGTCCCAGTCCACCCAATCTGGTACGGTCTGTACTTCGCGCCAAAGCTCTGCAAGCTTGGGATCGGAGTCGTGATGCTCTTCCAGTAAAGTATAGAGGTCCCTCTTAGGTACCGGCAATGGTTCCTTCTTCTCTTCCTCGGTGCCCGGAACTGACGATAGCGCGGCACGATTACTATCGTTCCTTGGCAAAGCACCCTTGTGCGGTGGCGAGATAGCGTTCAAACGATCAAGACATTCCTCTGCCAGAACATCGTACGAAAACTTCATAGGTTTCATCTGTTCCGGAGTCAGATGTTCAGGCGTCCACTCGAACCGGTAGCCCCAGCAGCTGATAGCGGTTAGTACGTGCGATCAATAGTCTTCCACTTCCGGACATACTCTCTGGTGTTGGCTGTCCGCCTTTGGAACGGGTTCGACAAAGCCATGCTTGGGCAAAGATGAGTGCAGGAAAGACAAACTTCGCTGATGATATGCCAAACGCTCAGATAACGGACGAAGCAGAACTGCAGCACAAGTACGGCGAGGATATTCCGTCATATGATACCGAGGCCCTAGCGCGCATGGGTGCGAGGGGATCCACTTCCATTTTGCCGCATTCGCCCCGCGATCGAAATCCTTGGAGGAAACTGCCACCGAAGCGTTGCTGTCGAGATAGCGTGAAGAGGCACTGACATATGTTCGTTGATGTCACCACTCACGGTAGACTCGTTCGCCTACTAGCGCGGGGACAATGCTTGAGGGAGGAGCCGATTTGGACGTAGTTTTACCCTAGTACTAGCTTAAATCGAACGCTTTCCGGATACAACCAAGTATTACAACTACATCGTATAAAACTCTTCGACTCTTTGACTATGCAGCCAACTTGCCCTTCAAAAGGTGAACAGCGGAATTCGTTCCACCACCCAGTATGTATAGTAAAGCACCTTGATCCGGTCCGAAGGCGTCCCTATTGGGTTCCTCGTCACAGTAGCCATGCCAAAATCACCGAACCAGTAGAGCCCGCAGCTAAGCAGAATAGCTGCAATAGCAAACCCAAATGGTGCAGGTTGCTTGAACAAACAGAAGATGCATGCAAGGATATTGATCAAGGTCGCGAGCCCGGTCAAGCCAATATACGCAAGCAACACAATAAAGATAGCAGAGCCGATGAGGTTTCCAACTCTGCCATCTTCTTCTTCGACTGTGATTCATGAATTAGTTCTGGCTGTATACAAGACAAGTCCTTGTGACTTACACGGGAACGAGTAAAAAGCATATATTGAGAAGAACGACACAACCAGAAGTGGGACCGCCCAGAAGCATGCGAAACCAAGTCGATCGCTAAACATGCAGTGTATATGGATGACGTCCACCAGAACGTGGAGTACGATCTGCATCCCGGCAAGTATCAGCAGTGGGCGGGATCCTCGTGTGCGAGCCATGGTAACGCCTGCAAGGATGACGGAGACGAGCGAGGAGAGTGTGACTACTGCGATGTTCCAGCGTTCTTTTTTGAGTGCCATCCACGGAAGCAAAGGCCTCACTCCAAGGAAGTGACAGAGCATAACGTAGAAGGTAAGGGCATGAGAGACAGCGCCTAGAACCCCGTATGGTATACCGTAGACTTCGATGTGCTGCCTGAGGTTCTTTGCGTTTGTGACTTCGAGGGCTCGGGGCTCAGGTCTTGGTGTGTAATAGTCAGCTGGGAATGCCTCTGTCGAAATGACAAGATAAGCTCCGAAAATCATGATGGTAAAGAACTGGCTAAATCGTGTAGACATCCTGGACATGGTTGACGGCTCGTAATCAATGGAAGACAGTAATAGTTCAAGATAGAGAGATACCAAACTAATCGACAAAACTTAGGGTGCAGGCACATATTTGAAGTGCCGTTGTCACCCTCTTCGATATGCCGAGTTGATCATCGCTGAACCTCCATACCTCAATAGAAAGCTTTCCGCCGAAGGCGCTCCACAAACTGCACAACGTTCTACATTTGGTGATAAGGTCAAGGACGTTGTGGCCCCCCATCTACACTAGTCATGCGCCCTCCGGCTACTAAGAAACAATCCCAACGAACGGAAAACGCCACTGAACCTAGCTGCACTTTCCGACCTTGTAGCAGTTTTCGTTATTTGCTCCACAACCGCTCGGTCTGTTATCGGAGGCCTTTGCAATCTCATGTGTACATGGGAAGAAGACGAAATAGGTTCAAATTGACGAGAGTTGGTCGCAGGAAGCGAGGTACCGTCTTGGCTTTTATGGCGCCTAAGCAGTACATCGATGGAGTTGATGTCCAACACATAGGAAGCAGAGAGAACCAGTAGCTGAATGCGAGAATTGGCGCTGGAGAAGTATTGAAAATGAGACTAATGATAGATGAAAATAAAGCCTTAAGGCTGTGAAGGGAGGGCAGGACTCAAGCTGTCAAGGATATGCGCAAGATGAGAAGGACCGAGGATACGAACGTAAGGCAAAGATCGTCGAGATTGTCAGGCAAACTCTTGCAGCAAATGGTTCTAATGCTAAGTCGCAAATGGCATATCGCCTTGGAGACTTTCAAGCGAACAGGGCCTGAGTCTCGAGGGGTGCGAGGGGTGCTGTATCGCGACAAGATGAGGAGAGTAAGGAGCGGGCAGTGTCTTGAATGAACGTTTACATAGGAAAAGATTGAAGTACCACCAATTGAGATGGAGGGTGCAATAAACTATTCTGTACGACGATGCATGTTAGATTCTGCAACGATGGTGTTGGTGGTGAAATGGATGTTAGTCGCCTGCCTGTGGCAAGAAGTGCAGGTCCGTGCGATAATCTGATGAACTTTGAGAATAGAGCACCGGCGAATCTCAAACATCGACCATCATGACTTGCCACAACTGCGCCAGAACGACGCTCAGTCTCTTCATCCGCTCTTTCGTAAACTCCGAGCAACTCTTCACTGCTCGAAGGCCGATACTACGCCCGCAACAATCGCGATTTTTGACCGATGCGCGCCGACCGCGCAAAGCGTCTACCATACCCACCGCGGAACCACCAAAAGCGGACCCCGAAATCGAAGTAGAAGATGCTCTCACAGGAGAGTTAGAACGAAAGAATGAGCGTCCGGCATGGGCAGTGCAAAAGGAGGCTTTAAAAGAGAAACTAGGAGGCGAGGCGTGGAATCCGCGCAAGAAGCTGTCGCCCGACACCATGGAAGGCATACGGCACCTGCACAGCACACAGCCCGATAAATTTACCACACCCGTCCTTGCAGAGCACTTCAAAGTCTCACCCGAAGCCATTCGTCGCATACTCAAGAGCAAGTGGCGACCATCCGACGAAGAATACGAAGCGAGGATGGAGAGGTGGAATAAGCGTGGAGAGAGAATATGGTCTAACTTGGTAGAAATGGGAATCAAGCCGCCGAAGAAGTGGAGAGAAATGGGTGTGGGTCGGGCAGAGAATGGGGAGATGCCCAGGTGGAAGTCAAGAAACCGGAACCAGGTGGGCATTAGAGACAGCGTCAACGACAACTTCAAAGACTATATGCCGGACGAGGATCTCATACCGACCGTGGACAAGTCAGGGAAGTCAAAAGCGACGACCAGCCGCGTACCGCTGTCAGAGAGACTGTGAATGTCAGAACTGGCAACGCAGCGTTCAACCACAACTACACAATACATGTGGACCAGTCGTCTGAATAGATACAATCATTCCACAAGGCATGATCCTGCTCATGAATCTGGCCGTCTGATATAGCCATCTAGTCTGTTATATAGTTCCAGTCAACCTGATCTCGAACGGGAAATGCGAGCAAGTAAGTCACCCACAGAATCGCGGCATTGTTCAACATAAATATTTCAGATTCTGCTCCCGATCTACTCTCCGGATAGAGCGCTTGTGAGTTTGTGATTAGACACTCTTGATCATATCCAGGCCTTTCTAACAAGCCACGTGAGAGTGCGGGGTATAACCATCCAAGACTCATTCTGCAATCATCATCACACCCATCTTATCGTCATTTTCCCTCATCCCCAATGCGTCTGCTAAACACGAAAACGCGCGAGCTGTTCAATGTTCGGTCAGACTATCCGGAGTATGCCGTGTTGTCACATAGATGGGACGCCGAGGAGTATGTGTGTAAGGACCTAATGGAGTACTCTCGGACAAGCAAGAAAATTCAGGGGTTCTGCGACCTGTTAGAGAAGATGGGAATTCAGTACTGTTGGGCGGACGTATGCTGTCTTGACATGACGTCCCGTTCTGAACTTAACGAAGCAACTGTTTCAATGTATTCATTGTCCAAGAATGCTACACTGAATTGCGTTCATCTTTCGGATATAGATGAATCTATGGAGAGCTGCGCCAACGCAAGATGGTTCACTCGATCTTGGGCTATGGCTGAATTGCTTGCTCCAAAGCCCGATCGAATGTTCTTCTTCGACCGCACCTGGAAGCCCCTAGGCTCTAAACGGGATCTATCCGAGACCATCAGCAAGGCCACTGGAGTTCCTGTCGACGTGCTCACCCATCGACGTGATCCGATGAGTGCTACTATTGGCGAGAAACTATTCTGGGCATCGGATAAGGACGCCTCGAACCAAGAGGACCATATCTACGCCCTTATCTCCCTTCTAGGTTTGCCGATGGACATGCGACCTGGCGAAGGCAAGGCCGTCGCGACAATGCGCATGCAGAAGCACATTTTGGGTAACCTCGAGGATTACACGGTATTGATGTTGAAGAGGCCTCTAGGAATAGCGCGCCGCCCTCCTGAGGAAATGGAAGATCCTGAGCTGCAAATGGAGCAGCCATCATGGAGCCAGTTAGACCTACACTCACCGATCGACCTTGTTTCTACCAAAACCCTCAGCAAATACCTTCCTAAGCTTCACAAACCACCCGATAGCCCTCAGCTCACAGGGCGGGGACTCAGAGTCACATTGTTGGCGAAACGTGTTGACTCGTATCTCATAGCTTGGACATACTGTACACAAGTACGAAGTGGAAAGGTGTACGCTGTATGCATCCGCGTTGTGCCAGTTGATTCGGCTAGTGATACGCAAAATGCGTATTTTAGGGGAAACACGAATGGCCTTGTATGTTATGTAGCCGAAGATCGCTTGAGGTCGTTTCAGTACAAAGATGTTTATTTCGACATAAATCCGGACGCGTAAAGAGCGTTCCTGGAGAACAAGGCAACATAGAACGTCTGTGCTAATACAACAACTATCTTAATACATTATAAAATGACATCAGTCCCCATTACCTAGTCGTGACGATGCAAATACGCAAGCCGCAAGCGCCCATCGCCGAAGGAAGCTTTCACTACTTTCACATTACGGTCCTTCCACAAGTGAGGCAGCACGAGTTCCGTATCTTGTTGGAACAAGTTGTCCCCGTTCCTGTACATTTCGTAGAAATGGGGTTTGATCTCCGTCCAATCATCACCAGGTACAAGGCCATAACTCCAATGGTTCTTAGCAAAATGACAAACCAGAACAAAGCTATCGAACGCGTCTGACCAGGCCGACGAGTACTGCATGTATCCGACGAAAACCCCAGTATGCCCAGCATACAGCATTTTCTCCGATTGCGACCAGCTGCCTACAGGCTCTACGTAGTCTAGTGTGGCTTCTTCTGGAGTCTGGATGGACAAGACGTTTTTCTCAATTGCGTCTGACTGTTCGAGCGAGAGAGTCTTGACATGGAAAGATCCATCCGCAGCCGTGAGTTCTTTATTCGCTACATCGCCGCCGTGTAGTGTCTCAAGCTTCTCGCAAGGTCGAGCGCGAACAAATAGGTTCGTCCCAACCTGCCGGAGAAACACGCCGAGATTTTCTCCTTTCACATATCCATGGTTGATTGGAAGCAAGAAGCAGCCACTTTTCTCATCTTGAGCGAGCGATAAGTGGAATCGTATGCCGCGATTGGTGATGTTGTACTCTCGGGAATGAATCGAAGCATCCGGATTGACTACCAATGTATGCATACTCTCAAATTGTTTTGGAGAGGATGCTAAGAGACCAGTATACTTCTGCTTCTTGACCTCACTACACCAGGCAAAGATTGACATATCCGTGCTTTGCTTGATGATCTCCTCCTGCAACCGTAAGAATGCTTTCGAGCCTTCTCCGTACAACAATGGCATATTGATGTCGAAGATTCCGAGTAGGCAGTATGCGATATCTTCGATGTACTTGGTTTCGCGAGAGGATGCCCACGACATGCGTACCGCTACAGGCACATCTGCAAGCGGAGTTGAACCATTCAACACCCCAGTTTGAATTCTCGTTATAGCGTGAATCTCTTTACAGAGTTTGATCCGATCGCCACGATAATTCCATTTCTTGTCGTAAAAGCTAACTCTCTGAGGAGCTAGCAATTCCTGGAGCGTCCACCCACGTTTGAACCACTTCGACTCGCTCAAGCTTTCCTTGGACGTTGCATCCCAATCCGACAAGAAAGCGATACAGGTTTGAGCTCCTTGATAGTATCGAAACATCGAGTTGATTGCCTGCGACAGTTCCACGCTGCTTGTCTTGTCGATGCAACACGTGTCAATCCAGATGCGGTCATATCCCATCTCCCGTGCTTTTTCACATGCACTCACGATCTTTTGGTACCCAAATAATCGTAAGGCTTGATTACCTTGCATATCTTGATAAGTGACCTCTTCCTCCTCCCATCGGTGAGAAAGTATGGCATACTTGACAGTATGGCTTTCCTCCTCTTCTCGCAGCTTAATAGTCCACGTATCGAGTAATCGCATGATGGTAGCTATGGACGCTTTCAGTCTACTCAAGTATAAATACCAGATACGAAAGAAAACATGGATATGTCGTTCGAAGATGCCCAAAGCTGAGATGTCAGTGAGGCTGTAGATTATGTAATAGGCATAGGACTGACGTGGTTGGTTGACTCGCGCCAGCTACATCAGCAGGTGCTGAACATACCTATCGTTTCATAACGCTACGCGTCTTGTCGGGTCGAGAACAAACTATCTCCGTCAAGCACGTGTCCGCTGCTTGGTCCAAAGAAGCCATATCTACGCTAGTCCGCGTCTGTGTTGCGGTACTTGGCGTCTTGATTGGCCTCCTGTCCTCGCCTAAGCTGTGGCATTGGCTGTGCAGGCCTTTCGAATGTAAGCAACAAACCAAGCCTGTCAATTTGCCTCCAAATACCAGGAGATGATATCCTACCTCATGTAGATTGTTCAAAAAGTAGAAGAGTGGAGAGATCACGACAGCGTGTGGATCCCAGAGGACAGCTGCAACAAGAGTACAACGAATAACTTAGGTTCAACGATTTTCTTGAATTACGGGGAGGGGGATGTGGAGCTTCAGTCAGTCTTGGTGATGACCGGAAGTGGCGTTCAGGCATGTTAAATCTCTACATTGACGGAGAGGTGGCTTGTAGATTTCTTTAACTTGACATTATTCTTATCCTATACTATCTTGCTTATTGTATATTCTTGAATCCAGGCTCGATCTTCCGCAAACACTAGGTTCATCGACCTCGATATGCATCTTTGCACAACAGGCATATCAGATGCAACGTCCCATCTACTCAGTCATATCCAACACAACTCTGCCCTGTAGCTTCCCTTCATGCATCTCGTTGAATACGTCTGTGAGCTTATCCATCTTCTCCATCCTGAAATGCGTCTTGACGATTCCACGTGCCGCAAACTCCATGGTCTCAATAGCCTCCTTCCGCGATCCCACAGCTGATCCAACAATCTGCAATGACTTGGCGACCAAGACACCAGGGTTCGCGCTCTTGATGGGTACAACATCGCCCTCAGGGATACCGACACAGACCACGCGACCACCGAACCGAAGAAGATCGACTGATTGAGCGTACGCAGCGTTGTTTTGCGTACATACTACGACGGAGTGTGCGCCGAGGCCGTTTGTGAGGGCTTGAACGGCTTCGACCATGTTCTCTGTGCCGTCTACGGGGATGAAGTGCTCGGCACCGCTCTCCATGATGATGTCCTTCTTGGAAGAGTGGTCGATGCCAATTACGCGGTGACCGATTCCTCGAGCACTGAATTGTACGGCCAAGTGACCCAGTCCACCTCCAGCACCAGCAATCACGACCCAAGCACCCGATTCGGCATTTGTCTTACGAAGTGCGGAGTAGACTGTTACACCAGCGCAGAGGAGGGGTGCAGCGGCTGCGGAATCGAGGCTTTCGGGGATGGGTGTGACGTAGTTTGCAGGAGAGAGGACGTATTGCTGAAAGGTACCTGGTGTGTAGTATCCTGATACTTTCTATCACACATGTCAGTTTCCGTTTTCAACAAAGCAACAAGCAAAACTTACACCAGAGAAACACGAAGCATCGATTCCCGCTCTGCAAGCCTCACACGCCTCGCAAATCCCCGCCATCCACTTGATTCCCACGCGATCTCCAATCTTGACTGCCGAGTTCTCTGTTCCAGGACCCATCTTTACAATCTTTCCTACACCCTCGTGGCCACCTACTTGCCCTGCCTGCGTAGGAAATGGTAGCGTTTTCCAGGAGTTCGTCATAACACCCAGATCGGAATGACAAACACCAGAGTGTGTGAGGTTGATCAAAACTTCACCCGCGCCTGGCTGGGGCATCTCCAGTTCGACAACCTTGGTTGAGATAGAGCCGGGCGCATCATAGATGGCGGCTTTGTATTTGGCGGGGAGGGACATCTTGAGCAATTGTATGCTACAAAATCAGGCGTAGGAAGTATGGGTAGGAGATGCTGCGTGGGAGGAGGAAGAGTGACTAGAATGGATGAGTAGAAGATGAACCAACGAAAACTGACAGACAACTCCGTACATATACCTTTCCCCGCACCCATCAGCCACCATCCAGACTCCCTCCCTCCGACTAAGCACACTACCCTTACTCTACGTAAGCTACTTACCTTATCTCCACCCACAGCCTGGGAGGTAGTCCATCATACAAATCCACTCCCCACTCAATTCACCTACCGGACCAATCGCGCACACAGCAGATTCGGACCGCTTCACGTAGTCCAAACGGAAGCTCTACGCGTTGACTTACTCTTAAGATTATTATCAGATAACAACCGAAGCCGAGGCAACCAAGGACGCGTGATCAAGGTCAACTTTACCCCGCAATTGGAGGTAGGAAACGCGCCCAGCGCCGAAGCTACGTCAAGCGGGATACGGATGTGGGGTTAGCGACCGTGCCGTTGGGCGATAGTCGGGGGAACATTGATCGCAAAAGTCGGACATCTTGGATTCCGTGATGGATTTGATTTTGTCTCCATTCATGGCAGGCATTTCGGAAGTCATGATTGTCTGCGGTTCCAGAGCGCCGAGCTCCACTCTTTGCGGATAGCGGGGACCTGCAGTGGTCGTGATTATATACTCCTGTGCAGCTCAACGGCAGTACGCGAAGTCGCTGCCAAGATAAAGGATTCGGTTTAGTGATACGGTGGAAAGAATACGTAAACAATAGGATGGGATACTATTAAATGCTGCGATCCTAATCTTCCGAGATGATAAGCCGTGTGCTGCAACGACGGTTGTAAAACAAGAGTGGATAGAGTCCTAGTGATACATTCGGTGGTTTTGCATTCTGATCTTGACAAAAAAGGAAAAACAATGGGACGGTGGATACAACTTGTAGTAATGCGACTGTGGCAGCTTCAGCCACCGAACTTAATCTCGGAGGATACGTCATCGTGGATAGTCGTAAAGTTCATGCAATGGCAATTGATTTTGACACATCGGGAAGTCATGGGTGAAGATTATTGTGTAAAGTGTTGAAAATAGATCTTGTAGACAGCTATGATACAAACAGCCTAAATCCATCCAAAGCACCCATTACTGATCAGCAGTATATTAAATATGCTGCGTAGCACCTCCCTTTCCTCCTATCGGAAAAGCGTATTGAAAGTGGTATAGTACAGAATCATTCGCGCATGTAAGCGTTAGGGGCGTTAAAAAGGAAAAAGAACGCCCATGCTAGAACCCCAATGATGCTTCCCCGTCCCATGCTAGAAATGTGTTGTGCGCCGTATGTAAGAAAAGTTTATGCACCCTGATTAGTTATGAAATGACTGGCTAGAAGCTCGTCGGCGCTAGGACGCTTCTCGTGGTCGATGAGGAAGGTCTGCGCCAAGAATGTTCGAGCATCGTCGCCAGCGTTGTCAGGAATTGTAGGGCTGGCATCGCCACTGCCACCAATCTTGAAGATGGCTTGAAGTTGAGTGCAGTTGGGATGCGGGTGGCTACCAGTAAACATCTCTACTACGAGGCAGCCGAGCGACCAGATATCGGCTTTGCGGGTGTAGGCTGTTTGTCGAACGACTTCTGGTGCCATCCAGAAGACGGAACCTTGAAGGGAGACACGCTGGGCTCCCTTCTTACCACCGCCTAATGTCGAGGCTTCAATACGCTTAGAGATACCGAAATCGGAGATCTTGACTGAGCCCTTGTTATCGACAAGGATGTTTGCGCCCTTGATATCTCGGTGGATGATGTCTCGTGAATGGAGGTAAGAAAGACCAGTGAGAATCTGGCGTACGAAGTTCTGAATAAGAGACTCGCCAAGCGGACCGTAGTTGACCAGCATGGTCGCCACGGAACCACCCGGAACGTATTCGAGGAAAATGTTAAGGTGGCTCTCGTCGGAGTTGGAGCCAAGGTACTGCACAATGTTCTTGTGCTTGAGTTCCCGAAGGAGGCCGATCTCGTGTTTCAGAGCTTCGACCATGTTCGTCTTCTTATGATCCATCTGGGAAGCACCGGCTACTGAAGGAAGCTCGACTTGCTTGACGGCCATGAGCTCACCAGTGACGGCATGCAGCGCAAGGTAGACACTTCCAAAAGAACCCTGTCCGATGAGAGCGCCCTTCATGTACTTGACGTTGTCCCAGGAGTCTTGTTCCAGATACTCGGCCAGTTCGTCATCTGACTCTTCGCCATCCTCAGCTATGGCTTCAGAAAGGCGCTTGTTAAGTGAATCACCGTTTTCAGTGTTGCTGCTACTGCTACCTGCAAGGCTGCTACCGCCGTCGTCGAAGTAGGATTGCAGAGTGGTGTTGCCGTCAGGATCTGTGATGGCAAGAGTATCCGAGCCACTGTCACCACCAAACGAGACGTATGACTTTCGGTTTGGCTCGAGGGGTGACTCTTCATCCAGAGGTTCCAAGACAGAAGATGCCATAGAGTCACGGTAACCAGATTGATTAGGTAGACCCAACCTCATGACTGAGAGTGGGCGAAGTGGTCGGGCTTGGGCACCGCCTTGGAGCCAAGTGTCGGCGATGGACGGCAGTGGTGGTGCATCCTTCAAGCTGGAGGCAACACTGAAGTTGGATGCCATTGAGAGACGCGAAGCCGCGCGGCTGAGTCGGTGAGAACGACGTATCGACATGCGGACGGTCTTGTCAATCTCATCTTTTCCGACGTCAGGGAAGTAGGAGGTCAGGTCAGATGTGATCAGTTCGCTGGGAGGTCGAGCACCGTAGAACTGCTTAAGCTTTCGGGCACGAGCATGGAAAATGGGCGATCTCGAAGGGTCGGCAGGCCCCTCCAGATTTTGAGCAGTTGAGTTGATGTGACGTTCTCGTTCCCTTGCAGACGTTGGCGACAGAGGATAGCTGACAGCAGCGAGGGATTCACCCGTCAGCTTCTCGATTTTGATCTGGCTGCGGTTGCTGGATGGCACGTAGACGGTGGAGTTTTGCTGGAAGTTCTGTTGTTGGTAGATGCCGGCGGCAGCCTTCAGTTGATCCTCGTCGGGCTCTCCAGC